GCGAGAGAATTAAACTTATTAGATCCATCACAGCGGCGTGTTTATCGGATGAACCAACATGGATGGCGCGAGCTGACGACGTTCAGGCCTGGAGCTAACTAGCGAAAATAGCGAGATCGTCAGCACGGAGCGCCACATGGTTGAGTTGGATCCTGGCAAAAACAGGACGTAGTCTGGGAGACTACCGAACATTAGCAGGGCGCTTCAGGTGGAGAGCGAGCGCTGGAGTCTGCACTGGAGGAAATCATGATGATGCGTCCTGGGAGTGTTGTTCCTTGCGTCCACGTTGATTATGGCTGACGTTTCCTGGTGAACTGCCACTCAACTGGAGTTTGGAACTGCGAGGTCTGTGATCGACCAGCTTCTCCTTTTTTCAGGGATTGGGTGCTGAGTCAATCGCTCATCAAACGAACCAGAGTGCGTTGCGCTGAAACTGACGAACGACGCTTGGACTGGCCGAAGATCCTTCTCTCACGACCAGAAATTATTGTTTAATTTGCCAATCACGGCGTCCGTTTGGAGAAATTCCCCTGATGCTGAATGAGAAATTCCTCATATTTCGGGCCAGTGAGATCATAGGTAGCCTCGCGATGACATCGGCTAGGGAAATTAAATAGTCGTGTTTCAAATGTCATTCCAGATTCCACCTCTACTAGCACGAGCAACGTTGTTTACTGTGGAGTTTAAAGTGAAGAGGTATTCATTAATATTCTGGTTGATTCGCGCACAGTGGACCATCTCTTGCACCACCTCGACGAGTACGCGAGGTTGCCTACTTAACTAGCTAGTTCTGAGTTCTTCGGACTCAAGTTTCAGGTTGGCAGCGCTTACTGCGACACCACAGACGCTAAAGAAAGAAACAACCTGGACGAAACTCCTTCGTAACGCCTGGAATAAAACAGCCTGACCGCCGCCCATACAACACGAGATATCAATTAAAATAGAAACGCGTGAAGGAAGAAGGCAAGAACAAATGAAAATCAGCGCGAAGCCACCGTCCTGTCATACTTTTTGTTTACCGCACCCAAAACACACTTGAGAATGCCGTCGGCGTTGAGCACCCTCCCTTTCTCGCCCTTCCAAGGTACTGTATCAACAATGTCTCGAATTCCATCGTTGCTGCGTCTGCGAACAAGCTCATCGTCCAGAGCCTCCAAATACTCCCGAGCAGCACGGTCGTTGCCCACCTGGAAGAACTGGATGCCCACCTGCCATGGCGCAGCCTGCACATTGGGATGATCTAGTTGCCTGGCCGCGTTAACAATGACGGTCTCTGCATCGTCTGTAAATACACCATCCGTAATGACAATGATATTGAGCGGCTTGAGTTCCGACTCTTGGCCCTGGTTAGTCAACTTGGCGAGCTCCCGACAGTAAGGCGAGAGTATGTTATGCAAGCGAGTCCCTACTGGGGTAGCGCCGCTGGGTTGGACGGATTTGAAGATCTCACGGACTCCAGCGGCGTCGGTGACGTTCAGGTAGCCGCCTGCGTTTGCAGTTCGTCTTCCGTCATCGCCGCCGAAGATTGAAGAGGGGCGGTTGCGGTGGTTGAGGAAGTAGATATCGATTCCGTCGGAGTCGTACTGAGTGCAGATCGGAGCGATGGCAGCGATGGCATCTTCGGCTTCGCGCCAGCGTTTACCACGCATGCTGCTGCTGTCATCAACGAGGAATATGGTGTCGAATGTGCTGAGGAACGAGTACTGCGTGTCGTTAGGGGCGAATCCCGTTGAGGTGGAAGTGCCTGCTGCAGGTGCTGGGGTCGCTGGAACAGCGGCAGTGGCGCTATAGTATGAGGGAGGCGACCAGACATCCGCTCCAGAGGTAGTATTGTCCTGATATGACGGCTTGTGATTCTGCATCCCGTAGGGCTGAGATGGGACGTGCGAGTGCAGGGATCTGGAGGCTCCGACGGACCTGGGCTGAGCAGGAAACGCGCTCTGTTTCTCTTGCGAAGAATGACAATTGCCCATGTTTACAGTTGAGCTCTGAGGAGAAGAAGATGAGAAAAGCTTCCGCAGAGAAGGCATGAGGAATCTCGTGGTGAACAAGGGAGTATGCAACAGTTGTGTTAAAAAAGTGAAGACCTCACTGGTTTGCAAACTGCACTCTGTCATGCCTTAGGCTATACTTTATACCCAAATACAAGGCTCTCTCAAGGCGTCCAAGGTTCATTCACAAAACGACATTGTGGTTGGTTCTTCAAAGGCTGGCGTCAAACGGATAATGAGGACCATTCAATGAAGGGCATAGATTTCTACAATTTACAGAAAGGCCCCATAGCAACAGTGAAAGCTCGTTTAGAAGTCACAACAATGCTCGGTGGGCTGTGTTTTGTACCAACGGTACCACAAGGCTGAGGGGTGGCGGAGCTAAGACCATTCTCCTCGTAAGGCCCGCATTGCCTGCTACCAAAACTTTGGGATCCTGCCTTGAGCATAGCCACAAAAAGGAAAACAAACGCCGATATTATTCCCACCATCAAACTAAATACTAGTGATGATTCATTATTGCGCCCGGGCTCCGTGACCAGTTCCCATCATGTAAAGCTAAACACAGCCCTTGTTCAGCCCAAGTTCCAGATCCAAATGGCATATGCTAAATGCAAAGATAATGACTCCCGCAGTTAAATGTTCCACGTCCCAATCAATATCCGATTATAGGCGCTCGCGTCGCCTGAGGCCCGAAAGATCACTCCGTCCTCGGTCTCCTCCATGCCTTCAAACACTCCAGCTTCTGATTCTAAGACATCGATAAGGGCCAAGGCTTGGTCAATACCAATGCTGTGCCCGATGAGCCGCAGACATTTCCGGATCCACACACGGAGCGGGTGATCTATTGGCTCTGTGCCCCCAGCAAGCGTCAAGGGCCAAAGAAGGAGCATTCCACCGACATAGCAGTAATTGGTGGGAACAGTGAATGCGGATCCTGGGGCACCCTCTACGCCGAGGTGGTACGCAACACTGGCACAGATGTCACTTGCCAGCTCACGTGTAACATTGCGGATTCGGGCGCAGTGGTTCTGGAGCTCTTTGGACATCGCCATGGTGGGGGAGGCAGCGGAGAGTCGGCGGAGACAGCTAAGGATGATTTCGCAAACAATTATCCGCGCGCAGCGGTATTGGTTCCACGTGTGACAAATCCATAGGTCACGATATACGTGGTATTGCTTGTTATATGGGAAGGGTTTGTAACCAAACATCTTGACCCATTCCTCGACCGACGAGCAGTCGTACGTTTTATATAAGAAATCGGGCGGACCGGCCGCTACCCATGCCAACAACTCTGCTTCCACAGCGTATGCGGCGGACAACGTTTCGTTTGCGTCTGTCAGGGATTTTGAATGGATGATACCTGCCCGCAGGTTGGAGAGTCTTCCGGCTATACATATTAAGCGATCGCAGTAAGCATCTATTTGTGGCCGTAGATACATCGCAATCTTGGTACATTCCAAGAGCGATTCAGGCACTGCCATTCCTCTTTGAAGGCAGCTGGTAATCTTTTATTTTTTTCATGAATGTTAGCTCTCTGATTGTGGATGGAAAATCTCCGAGACATACAATCTGAAATCTTAATTGGACGAAGAGCTTAAGCCCTTCTTCACTCTGGAGGTGCTCTGGACCCCGCAATTCGAGTAACGCTGCAGCCCCTTTAATGTGGTTCGTCCATTTTTCAATACTCATTATAGAACGACTCGTGATAACCTGCGGGGCTACCATTAATTTCAACTTGTCAGGCACCTCGGAAAGCCAACCTTACCTCAAAAATAGCCAATAACAAAACTGCTGACAGTGTTTGATTGGCTTTCGATTCCTTTTCATTACAAACGGCCCGCGTCAAAAGCGTAAGTGCATGGCCATACTCGCGCTCAGCAGCAAGCTCCAGTTCTTTTGATCGTCGCACACGCGAGAGCATAGCCGTCCCCACAGACACAAGCGCGGCCACTTGCGCTTGTTCGCTCGGGGTCGCGCTCGGGTGGCCCGGAGATTTGAGTTCGAAATTCACCATAAAAATCTCTCCAGGCCATACATTATGCCGAAGGAAGTAGTTGACGGCTTCATCTACAGTCAGTTTCCACGAAGGCTGTACCTTCCAGGGTTGATATGCGAGGTCTTGCGCTTGCAGTTGGTCCCCGTTGATCAGCTGCACTTCATCGATGTCATTATATTCAGAGATGTCAGTACTCGTATTCCCCGACGGCGACTGTATCGACGTCGACGGACTCGCCTTCCCGGCAGACGAGGCCTCGGGGCTGCTGGTGCTACTGCTGCGCAACTCAGACAGGGGCGGAGATGGTTTGGGGACGGCAGCAGCGGGTTGTTTCTTCTTGGAGCGTCGACCAGATGAACCTGTCTTCGCTTTTCGTACAACCTGTTGGCTTTCATCCCGAAACATAAGTGACAGTTCGTCTCGATAGCCGGGACAGGCCCGGTTTCCCTTAGTGCACTGGGAGCAGGTTGGTCGGCCCTGATCGCATCGGATCTTTCGAGATCGGCATTCACCGCAACCTTTACTTGGTTTGCCGCAGAAAACCATCTTGATCTGGGTTGGCGGGGCCTTGCACGAGGTCCGCCGGAGGAATCGGGGAGGGGGAAGCACAATGCAGACGGGGGGCAGTTGAGAGATGTTACAAGAAAGGGTAAGCAGTGCGAACGCGCGAGCAGGTCGCTAACCAGTGCGGGGATAGCGCCCACTGATTCTCACATCCGAGGTCAAGCCTCAAGAGGTGCCCGCCTCAAGCGGGGGCACACCGCGTCCCCAGGCGATTTCGGCGAGTCAATGCTCGAGTTGACGAAGTCCCGCGCAGTCAGTGGCTGGGTCAGGGGGGGTTGCTCCGCCTCAGGCACCAAGAACGTTGTTTTATGCGGCAATTACACTCACCGCCAGCTGACCGCCAACTCAATTAGTTCGTCCGCGTCGCTGGTCTCTATCAGGCATCAGAGAGAGATAGCCCATGGCCTACAGAAAACATTACATTCCGCTTGAATGCAATCCTTCTAAAACTCTTTACACATCTTATCCATCAGATAGGGGTCTCCCATCCTCTAATATTCCACGATGTATCGTCCCTGGACGACCCGGAACTTCTTGCCATGACCCCACGCCCCGCGCTGGCTTTAGTCCTAGCATTTCCAACGCCGAGCGACTATGATGAGAAACTAGAGGCACAAGAAAGGACGAAATAAGGTAGGAATGAGGACATGAACGGCGCTAATGTTGTGTGGTACAAGCAGACCATCAACAATGCCTGTGGACTCTCCGCTACCCTCCATGCAGCCTGCAATGGCGATGCGAGGGATAGTATCCGTGAGTGGAACCTTCTAAAAAGGCCATAAAAAATGAAAATTAAATTGAACATCCAAAAATCATGTAGCCGAGGAATTGTTATTTCCTCGCAAGATGCATCTGTGACGGTTTACAAAGTACATACTGGTCTTTTCACAAATTGACTTAGTCTCCAACTCGCATTTATCTCGTCTGCTCGGAGTTTGCGCGCCGTTAAGTCAATCGGAACGCGCCCGGGTCATTGAAGAAGACGTCGATTTAGATGCCGTTTATAAGTCCGTAGCCCAGCAAGGCGACTCGGAAGTCCCCGAAAGTCCCGAACATGTAGTCGATTTTCATTATGTCTACTTGGTCAAATCCCATACCAATGGCCAGTTGTACGAGTTGGGTGGAGACAAACAGGAGCCAGTAGATATGGGAGCCCTAGGATCGGATGAAGACGTTCTGTCAGTAGCTGGACTTGGTGTATTCGAAGGTTTGTCCAGTGGGAAAGAGAGTGAGCTGGTGATAATTTCAGCTTACTCGTGCTGGCACCTCGATAATTTGAATTTTCAAATAAAGGCTGGAGCCTTTCCTGGACATTTATATAATATATATATATATATTTTGGACAATTAATAACCGGTGTTAATAGTATCATTGGCTTCATGTAGTTATTATATATATGCTTAACAAACAAGCCCAAACGCTATATACATTATGCTATTGGTGGGTATTCGTCAGATTAAAAAAAAAAAAAAAAACCAATCGCTTTCGTGATGGGATCATATTTGTAACCCAGATTTTGCCGGTTGATATTCGTCCGGAATCTCAGGCCATTCATTAATCCCATCCAAGAGGGCCAGCGCCATACCTCCGCTCTGGTGTATTTGGATATGGCAATGCAACAGGAACGCCCCAGGGTTAACGACATGGTAGCGAATCGCTAACCAAGTCGGGCCAGTCGCAGCCGGAGGGGTTGCAAAGGTATCTCTGATCTGGGGAGTTTCAAAGTTGAAGCTCTGGGGAATATAGTGCATAGCCTCAGCTACGGAAGAGTATTTCCATTTCCCTTCGCCCTGTCCGATGACGAAGAATTTGTTGGAGTGTTTGTGGATGGGATGAGGGGGTTGGAGGGCATTCGCCACATCGAATACCAGGTCAACCCATGTTCCGTTGTGGGTGCTAATGGTGAGGTTCTTCCGACCCTTTTCAGGGTTGAAGAGAAGCGGCGACTCCTCTTCCAAGGCAAGAGGAAAGCTGGAGTTGCCCATGGTCCAGGTATAGGATTGATCGAAGCGCTCAAGAGTTAGAATATGTGTTTGAGCCACCTGTGCATGGGCCACATTCTGGGGAGCGAACGGGACGATAGCTGATTCATCTAAAACAGTGTGGATTGGTAACGTAGGTGCTCCAACAATGTCGATGGATGGAACTGAAGGTTGCGTCTGGGGTAGAATATGGCTACCATTTTGATATGTCATTAGTGCAGTGCCGTTCACGATTTGATTGACGCCAGTATTCGCCACGCGAATAGTGTAGTCGCCTGCTGGCTTGTCCAACTTGACTAATACCGAGTATCTCGCGCCGTTGGTGATGGTGATCGCATCCACTAACATCGGCTCGATATATCCCCCATCAACCGCATAAACGTACATGGGATGTTCATCGATTGAGAACGTAATTGTCGAAACGAAAGCCGAGCTGATTAGGTCGTAGCTAACATATGTTTCGGCAGCGTTCACATAGAACCGTTCTCTCGGGCCACGGCTTGGTACACAGCCCGAAAAGACTGACGGAGGAATGGCGCTGAGATTGTGTTGGAAGGTTCCCTGCGCGACACTATTCGTTGGCGGAAGGCATCTGGGAGAATTATTAGTTCGTGCTGTGACACCCTGTGTCTGAGGAATAGAGCCATACCCAATATCAGTCAAGCTTTGGTTTCCGAGAACCCCCCTTTGCGCTAAGGTAGTGTACCGGTCTAGGGTTTGTTCTCCTAGACAACTAACTGACCCCTTACCGTTCACGAGCAAAGCATTCACACATATTGCATCGCGGCCCATTGCCTTTTCAGCGTCCCAAAGTTCCTCAGCGGTCAGTTGGCGTATATCAGACAGCATGATTGGGATAGATCTGCTCTCCGCCTTCTCGAGGGTTTTGAGTTCGTGCGGATCACTCGAAATCGAAGCAAAGGGTCTCTCAACAGACGCAGCGGCAAGAATATGGATCGCACCGTAAAGGCCATCCTCCTGTTGACCGCGCTTGTGGGCGTGATAGAAATAGCTTCCATGGTTTGTCGCTCTCCATTTATAGAGGAACGAACCTCCGGAGGGAATCGGCGTTTGCGAGAGACCCGGGACACCGTCGGACCATGGAGTATCTTGCTGCTCAATGCCTAGCGCGCAGAAAGTGTCAGACACCGTCATAATCCTGCCAAGGTGGGTTAGGTCTAGGAGGGTTACCATGGAAGTGGACAGTCGTAGAAAACGGCATGTTGTTGACAACCAAGAACTCGACATCGTCTCCTTGCTTCAACTCCAAAGACGGAGCTGGGAATTGACCATTGGCCAGGATCATCTTACGATGAATCCCTGCTGGTTGCCGGTTTTCCCATGTTAAGTTGATTTGGAACGAAACCGTGTTTCCGGTCACCTTCAAGTTTTCACCGTGGCCATAAACAAATGCTACAAAGTAAAGCAGTAAGATGGGCAACGCCAAGCCACATCGCAGAAGACCCATGCTGCAGAAGCAAAGAAACAATCAAGCTGGGGATATGCAGAGTCAAAAACCGGACAAACCGGGGGACGCCTCGAGAGAAATAAATCTCTGCCACAAAGCACGCTCGACGTGCATATGGGGCTCCATGCTGCAAAAAGAAAACTTCTGGCCATGCAGGACAACAGCCCTGGCATGCATTCTCACGCATAGGACAGCTGGAGGAAGCCCATATCTTGGACTTGGACCAATGTTGGGCCGATCTATTGGATTCAGAGCAAGGGCCTTGCCGATCATTTCCTACGAACTGTGGGTTCCCTCGCCCAAAGGATTGAAGGAATGCCGACTGGTCGACAACAGAGGACTGAACTCGAAACCCAGGTCGCTAGTCGGAGGCTGAACATCGAGGCTGAGCTGACGGCTTGGCTTCACAGCCTCTGGATATGGCGTGGAAGCCTCTCAACCAATCTTTGATATTGGCTCCTGGGGGCCTTGCCGCCTTACAGTCACTTGCCCATCACCAGATCTCAGGATGGTGCAATAATTCAGCGCCTGAGCTCGCACTTGCGCGCTCGCACCGTGCGGACCAAACCCGCTCTATTCGTGACTCGTGAGCCTCCGCTCGTTAGTTAGCATAAGGGTGCTTGAGTAGATGCCCCGCCGAGCTGCCGATTGCGCGCACACCGCAGTGCAAACCTCGAAGATCGAGGGCTCTAGCTTCTGGAATGATGAAGCACCAAGAAGAGGACCGCCATGCGGGAAAATCGCAGGAAACGCGGAAACACAAAGGATGGGCAATGCCGGGCGCGCAGGGGTTGAAATGAATTCTCCGAATTCCGCATCAGCACGCACAGCAGCAATAATAGCCCTGAAGGGAAGGAGGTAATAGTAAGCCCCTCTCTTCTAGTGTGTTGATTGTTGAAGGAAGAATGATCGGGATCCACATTGCCGGCCTCCCCGGACTGCTGGCAATGATGTGTTGCGTGTTTACACCGTCGGAACTACGTATAAAATTCTGAGGAAAGTGTACCTGAACAGTGCATAACTATATTGTACAATTCGAAGATAGAAAAAGAAGCAAAAAGAGACAGTAGAAGAGCTGAGGATGAAACGATTACTAAAAAAACATATTCTTCGAGGAGGTAAGCGACAACAAAACCCCCGTTTCGTCAACGATAAAGCGCCGAAGCTATCGAGCAAGACGTACATATGGGCATAGTATGAGGAACCCCTAACCAGAAACCACAAGCCAGCAAGGTTTTTTCACTTTCGGCCTGGATTCCTCGTTGACAGCGCATTTTCCACGTGGGACAAACTCGGGCGCATCTCCGCGAAGCTTATTGCCCTGAGCTAAAGGCTTTCTCAATTCACATGGGCTCTCTCCACTCCACGCCTGCTCAGATGGTGCCTGGGGAAAGGCTTCAAAATGAGGTTCCTGGTAAACCTACGCGAGAGTATTGTCAGTGATGGGCTATTTGGGTTTTATGGAAATGGTCTCTGTACCTGATAAGAACCGGGAGAGCGACACTCGTCCAAAAACGGTTTGTTCTGGAGGTCATGGAATCCCTCTGCCGACCTCCTGAACGGACCACTGAACGCCCTTTCATGTGCGTACGAAACTGGAGGATAAAAGGGTCGGGATTGCGGCAAATCGTACGGCATGGCCGGAAGAGTAGTATCAAACGGTCTGAGAGGCGGGCTACCAACGTTTCCAGCGGAACGGCCATGGCGCGGGTACCAGCCCCCGAACTGAGGAGGTGCTGGGGGACCGGGAGGACCGGGAGGACTGAAGCCAAATCGCGAGTTGTGACGCCCGTCGAAAGGACCAATATCCTGGGACGCATGGAAGGGAATTGGTAGGTCGCGTGGTGAGAAATTTCTCTTCCGGTAGGACGAATTGTACGAGCCAAATGTGTTGCCGCTCTGTTTAAATACAAATCAGTTGCTGATACTATTTACATTTGAAACAACCGAGTGGAAGGGATAGAACGCAGGGGACTATACCGAGCTTCTCTGATACCTATGGCCTTTTCCCATGACTGGATATTTGTGTTGACTCTTGTTGGTTTGTGTTGGGGATGATGGAAGGAGTGTAGAAGAGGGAGTGCCAGGTGAGACTGAGGTCGAGTTGGTGGTCGTCCGATGGGGTTTATTTCACTCAAATAGCGCAGGCACGTCTGCTGCTGGCTGTAGCGTTGGCACTGTCCCCTCCCAGGTGCTTGGAGTCATGGGCTTTAAAGACTAGACAGTACATTCTAATGAAAGCTGATAGAATTGTCCATGTTGGCTATGCATCTCGCCTTTATGATATAGAATATATATAGGTGGTCATGGTGTCTCAGCAGAGCTACAGAACGGCCTGGGAAGTGAAAGGAATCTTCAAATATGCCGAGTCATTGTAAACTGATCAAATGGCTATTTCGAAAGAACTATGGCTCTGATTTAACTAGAAATCGTTCTGTTCTACAGGGCAGTAGGTTGAACTCAGTCATTATTCCAAGGGCACATGCTCTCAGTGTCCATCTGGGCTCTGACCCAGGGCGTTTGCAAGATACCCAACGTTAGCTTTCAACTACGTAGCCATTTGATACTGAGCTGGTTGTGGACTGAAATGCCTGGTAGATTCCATTCTTACGTACATATCTTTTCCTCATGTGCGTTGGGCCCTTTGTCCGTTTGATAGAGTGAAGAGAGATTTGAAACATGCAAACAACAAAGAAATTCTGGAGAATGTGTCTCGGCTCAATCCTGCATCCCCAAGTCCACAATCGCCTTCTAAATCTGGACGCTCGATAGCAACCTTCCCTAATTCTCCGCCAAAATGGCAGTGCAAATGTCGGGGTGTCAAAACGAAAGTGAACCAAGGGGGTGGAAAGATATGGCATAGAAGCCAAAAGCCATTAGATCTAGTGAGATCTCACAGCAAAATTCTCCAGGAAGAGGTCATTCTTTGGACGATTTTATTTTATTTTATTTTGCCTTTTTTTTCATCGCATTTTTACCTTTTCGTCTGTTTTTGGCGTTTTGATGTTTTGTGCTCCAATGGCTGATTTCCTTGGATATTCAAAGATCGGGAGATTTGTTAACGGGCCTGAAAAACAACAAGAAAGTGACTCAAAACATTGTAATAAATAGATGAGCAAGAGAGAGTTGAGTGAACTGTATCTCCATTAGTGAATGGCACCCCCGGGAGAAAGGTTAGGTCCATACCTTAGTCCTGCTCAAATTGGGCCTGAATTTCGGCTAGGCTGGTCTTAAGGGTATCCTCAGCAACCTTCTTCTCCAAGGCTTTCTCCTTTGCAAGTATCTCCGTCTGGATTGTCATCTTTTCTAGGTTCTGATAATCCGCGAGTTGCTGCTGAAGGGTAAGAGCTTGCTAATGATAGTCGTTAGTAATCCGAAAACACCGTCAAACCACATTGAAACAAAAGCAAGAAGCCTTACGCGAATCGCTGTCTCCCTCTCCAGCGAGGTGGACAATTCTCCAACTTTCTCACATAGCTTCTCTATGCAGATGCGGATCCTCTCCAAATCGAAGTAAGTCTTGGCTTCTAGGATCAACGGTGCGTCGCCAACTGCAGAATTGGGTGACTCCATGATCTTCTGAGACGGTGGAGTCAACAGATTTCCTGCAATACGCTTGGGTCCACGCGTCAAACGGTGAGGGCTTCCGGTTGAGGCTGTCCGTACATGGGGTCTGCGTGTTTGGGACTCCACACTGACCGGCAGAGCTGCCTTCGGAGCTGGCGTGGCCTTGGTAAGAGTTGATGTTGTAGGCCGAGCAAAAGATGGTATATTACTGTCCAAACCGCGATTCTGAGGCGCCAAAAGGCGGGGAACTGACGGGGTTGGGGTACCTGGTGATTCAGCCCTAGTTCTGTTATTCCGGCCGCTTCTATTCCAACCAACTCCACTGGAGAGCCTGGTGGCATACTTTGTCTTTGGTCTAGCGGTTTTCTCGGAGTCGTTACGGTCCAAATTTTCCTTCGCCATAGCTTTCACACTGCCAGGGTGTTTATTTTCGCTCGCAGCTGCCGGTGCCTCTGCACCGCCTCGGGATTTGAACATGTTGCGGAAACTTCCTAACAGGTGGTTACTTTTCGACTCTGGAAGTCTGTGTTTGTCCGGAATCGGGCTGAAATGAGGTTCGCTCGGAGCCAAGGGTGTAATATCATTGAAAGTCACGTTTCGCCTTAGGTTCGTGATCACCTTCGAGGGTTTATTGGCGGAGCTTTGCTCTGAATGAGAAACACCAGGAAAATCGGATAAGGCTTGTAGTGAAGAAGACCTAGGTGGACGAGGGCAAATGGTGCCAGCCTTTATCACAGTCTCTGGAGTAGCTTGTAGTTCAAGGTTTGATGGTGTGCCCTTGGTCTCAGGCGTTGCCTTTCCTGGAGTCTGTAGCTCAAGGCTCTTGTTAGAAACCTTACGTACGCTGGGCCCCTGACCGGAAATATATTGATCTGGGATTTTCGGAACCATAGGTTCTTCATCAGAGTGTAGGCTTTTTGAGCTTGGTGAGAGGAGGCTGCTCAAGCTAGACTTGTTGATAGGTTTACGCGAAATGGACAGCTCTTTACCACTGATGTCCCTTTTCGAAATACTTTCCATAGAGATCTGTGGGCGGCAGAAGTTGCGAGAGACTGGAGTACTCTCTTTGCCGCTACCGATACTGATTTTCGAGCCCTGTGTTCCCTTCGATCCAGGAGTAACATCTCTTGGGATCTTGGAATTTTTCGGGGTGTTTGGAGTGAGCTTGCCCAAGCGTTGTAGGAGTGAGGGACTGCTCTTTTGAGTGGCAGAAGAGCTCGACGACTCCTGCTTAGCGTCTCCCATGATTACTTTCTCAGCAGATGAAGTAATTCTTAAGGTAGGGCCACGAGTTTGATTACCGAGAGGTCCCAGGACACGCTCGCGATACTCACCTGTAAACGCAACAGGCGGTCTTTCGGGATCGCCGATATCTGGGAAATCCCAGGTATCAGAAGACGAAACCGACGCCGATGAAGAAGTTTCAGCGAACTTGAGGCCCGTCCCTTCAGTTGATTCAGATGTAAGAATGGGTGCCTGGTCAGTTGGCGGAGGGCGAGGCCCACGAGGCTTTTCAACCAGTCGAACCCCTTTTGGAGATGGCTCATGTTGTGTGTCTTGCATAGAAGCACGTAGCTGTTCGGCGCTACGTCTGTGAACGGCAACTGGTATAGAGCTACCAGATCTCAGCCCCTTAACAGTAGACGATATTCCTGCCAGCTTTGGTGCGGTAATGCGAGGAATACGTGAGCCGATAGAATCATCATTATTTCTCGACAAGGGTTGAGTTTCAGGGCTTCCGGGTGTCCTGGCACCTAACAACACATTTTCGCTCTCTGCCATACCTGTAGTGTTAGCAACATACGCCAGTAAGGTGGCGTATAGAGAGACCTACTTTGTTTGTTTTTACCATTACCATCACCACGGCAGAGGGAACCGATATCAGGTGCACTTTCATAGGCAGAAATTGAGGTTTGTTTTGTGTTTTCAGGAGCCTTAGTGGAATCTTCTACTTGAGTCTCATCAGCATTTAACCCCAATCCATGGTGGTTTATCCTCGCAGCAGAACGTGGTTCTAGTGGTATAGAATAGCAACTTACCTTCCTGGTAGCTGCCATGGTCATCAACACGGACATTGTCGCCCGCAATATTGGTGGCTGCCTTAGAGTCGTCAACAGGGCTTTTCTTGGGCGAGCCTCCTGCCTGTGACATCTTGCTGAAAGGGTTCAGACGTCGACAAGCAGTGACAGCCCTGGAAGATACCGAGAGATGTAGCTTAACACGTTATCTGGGAACGTATGAAAGCTGAAGGAGGAACAAGAGAGGTGGGTGGGGGGAAAGCGGGAGGGAAGGAATGTTTTTGTCTGTGGGAAGTGTTGCTGGCAGATAAATATTGTGAATTATTTCTCGGCGTTATATTTCAAGAGAGTGTTTGTGTATTTGGCTTGAAAAGACTATGGCGACGGCACTAGCCAGTCAGTCGCAGGAGAAGAGAAACAACTCGCATGAGCTTCATGGTTCACTGTTGCTGAAGTCACCAACCTCGAAATCTCTGCACCTAGAATGATACCAACAGAAGGGATCTTTTTCTTCTTTATAGTGCAAAGATGTGTATATGCAAGGAAAGCACTTATCCTCCATCCATTCTTTGTAGGTATATGCCTGTGTAACCTTGGAGCTACATGGGTTCAGCCTGTTTGGTGTGCACTTGGAACTGATATGGATTTCAGGGATTTGACAAGTTGAGGCTTGTTAAGCACTTTTCTAACAAGCAAGCCATGCATGCTTGAGTTTCTAAATGTTAGCTTAACCCACAATAACAAATGACACTAATACCTTTGCTGTCTCAGCAATTTGAGCCGACTCATAAGATGTCTTTCGATGCGCCTGATTCTCATACCCATAACACGCTGAATAATATCTCATCCACTTTGTTGGAACTTTCCCCGGTGGCATATTTTCCTCTTCAGGGTCCAGCTATGCTGTGTACGGGGACATACATCTTTTTGAAGGCCCCCGATCTTGAACGGCATTCCGTATTGGCAGAAAGTTCAAAATTGACGCATTTTTTTCAGACGACAACGTATACGCCATATATACTTTTGCTAAAGCGGTCGACATAGAGTGCAGGGCATTTGGAGAAGTGCTAGCATTCTCCTTTTCCCGACCAGGCCTTAAGGCTATTCGACTGGCTAACTGGAATAGCTTATGTGCCGAAACCGAGATGCATTTCTAGACCCGGTAGTTTCGAGACAATGTTTTGGTTCATGTCGATTCGGATATTCTGAATATTCAGTCTCTGGCACAATCAGCTTAGTCACATCATCGAAAGGGGTGCATTGGGTTGCCGGCTAAACCGATGAGCCATACATACCTCATTAAGTTTCGAGAGAGATTTGATACTCGGCATACGAATGGATGCCTGCTCGACAAGCCTTGGGCTGAGGATTCACTACACCACTCTGGATACGACCATCTGCAGCGGTTGACTGCTTCATCACCAGCCAGAGGCTGTGTTTGTCTGAGCTTGTATCTTCCAGATATCTGGATTCCATCCATAGCTGAAGTGCATTGGGTATTTGGGATAAAGTGTTTGCTGGAACAAAAGGCAACGAAATAGCCAACAGAATTTAAAGAGAATAAAATGCTTATATTATCGGTGTTGTATATTCCTGAACAAACAAAGGTGGCTGTCACATTTGTGTAGGTCTGGCAACTCAGCATCCGAAGCGATACCTCTTTGGGAAAGCTAGCTTGGTGAATAGCAGCACGCCTGAGGCACCTTTTCTTTTGCTGTTCCAGTTCTTTATCTAGCTTTTATCCTAGCTATGTATTTAGTCACCTAAATAGCTTGGTTATTCTAAAGTTTGTATAATTAACCTCTTCTCTGTATTATTTAATGTGAGATAGGGCTGGGATCAGAAACGCAATATTACTATAGCAATATTGGTATGAGTTTACTTATATTTGGAGAGCACTTTTATAGTATCAAGGATTAAGTATCAACTATATCAGTATGCTCACCGCGTTTTCTTTTCCCTGCAGTATGAGCGGACGAGCTCTCCGATTTTGATCCTGTGCTTGTCCACTCACTCACCTCCCATTCTATGGTAGTCGACTGGTCATCGCTTACCCCGGCGCCGCGTCTTCTTTTCATTAATTTACCCAGTCCACTCCCTTCGATCATCTCCTCAAACCAGGGAATTCCGTCCGTGGTTCCATGCCTATAATTCCGAGCGATATCCGACGTGGAAATGTCTGGTGGCACAACGAGAGTTGATGAAGATTTGGAGACGGGGACTTCGGAAGAAGTTGGTTCCTCTTCCTCCGCTGTCGATCCTGGGGACTCGGATTCCTCCCATTGGGGAAGAAGCTCCAAGTCCTCTAATAGCCGCTGGTCCTCGCCGTACAAGCTGCCAATAGTCACGGACATGAAATCAGCCTCGTCGCGAGGGTGTTCACTCCAGTATGTAAGCGGCGATCCGCAAAAGCCGCAGAATACCCTCTGCGTGTGCGGTGCATGCTGTGGCGAGAAGATACGACGGATGGTGCCATGCGTCTCGTCGGGGAAGAACGATTGGGTATGGGATTGGTACCAATTCAGAGGAACTCGTAGCCAGGCAGTAAGTGGTGTGCCATAGGACTTCCCTAGATAACGATCGCGTTAGGATAGATGGACCCCTCAGAAATTCGAACGTTTACGTACGGTTGTCCCTGCCGCCGTCAAAGTAGACGCGGGCGTGGTCGGTCACATTGTCAGGAATTTGAATCAGATATTGATTTCGCCCACACATACAGGAGCCATGCAGAGACTCTTGCCGGTCCATGTTGTTACGGAGGGGTGGTTGTGCGCTTCTCACGTCAAACTGGTCGCTTTTTGTAGCGAGGTATGTGGAGATGAGGTCATAGGTAGTATTAGTGGAGGGAGACCCGTCGCGGACCAATTGGTACACCTCACTCACTTCATGTGTCAGAAAACATCAATCCATGAAGAGGTATAGGATATTGGTATCCAGAAATCATCGAGATAATTAAAATGAAAGAGAATAGGTCACTTTCATTGTTGAACAATGCACAGCCGAGTCATGTCAAGGATGTGAAGGAGCCAAGTCTGGGGAGAGTTTGGCCTCGATCGTCCGTTTGGGTCACTAACTTATTATGGATGCAGAGATTTGGAGGCTAGCCTGAATAATTGGCCAGTATCCATTCGGTTAGCCATCGTTTGAGGAATTGATTGCGGGTGGATAAATTATGGACTTTGGGCTGATCAGGGAGTCGGGACGAGTCGACTTCTCCGCACGCTAAAGTGATCCTAATCTTGAGGGTTCGAGATGTCGCAGTTCCTGGTTTGACACCTTGACCAAAGTCTTCCCTTCCTCTGGCCTCTCTACCCCCATTTCCCCTTCAAAATACGTTCTTCTACCGTTTATCTGTCCATTTATTTGCCTCTTCGTGCCCTTTTGGCAGTGCTACTTTGTTCTCGTCGGTCACACTCGCCGTCACATGAGACCCGCTCTTTTGCTACACTCACTTCTTCCACTCGTTCTTTGAGAAAAACCAGGCAACATGCCGTCCGCGCAGCAGCCTCCCATCCTCGCAAGCTCTTCTGAGCCATCCTACTCCCCGATCGCGGCTAGCGCATCAACAAATGCGGACGAACGGCATGATCGCTCTTCCTCTACCCCGACGAACTCGTCCCGACAGGGGGGTGCTAGCGAAAGGGACAAGCCTCGTTTGACGGAGCAGGAAAAGAAGAACAACCACATTGCCTCTGAACAGAAACGACGCGCAGCAATCCGCGAAGGCTTTGACCGGCTCACCGAGCTTGTTCCTGGCCTTGAGGGCCAAGGACGCAGCGAGAGCATTGTTCTGAAGAAGACGGTCGACTTTATCCGCCAACAAATCCAAGAGCGTCAAAATCTTGTTGAAGAAATTGAACGCCGAGGAGGTCGTGTCAACGACGATATGCGACCTTGAGTTGCTTATTCCCTCGGCAATCCCTTCGATGCCGAGGCTCGCCGGCTTTCAGGTTTAAGTTTTATGGCTGGTTTCAAATCCTTTTCACGCAAGAAACGACATAATGCCTTCCGTTGATATTCCGTCGTATACCCACCGCGACGCGTTTCGGGACATTCAGCGAAGAGAAGCGAAAGGGGCGTGAGCTACAATCGGTCCTCAGTAAGGGGAGACGATGGGACGATGCATTTCCTTTGCAGCCCTACTTATTCTCGATATACAGAGTACAATTGGGATGTATATGTACCCCATTTTTCATGATAACGGTTTTTACAAAGGTTCTAATGATATGGCGTTTGGGTGTATAAGCATGGTATGAGGTATCCTGCGGGATAAGGTCTTCTCAAACTTTGGAATCCATTATCCGTGTGCGATTTCCTTCTACTTTATCACAATATCAGTGCACATTTCTCTTAAGGCCTATTGTTTGTTGGGAGGTTGCTGGAATAAAACTCCGGGTTGACACACGACATAGCCAACTATTGCGTGAGCGCATGGAATTATGAACCAAAGAGCACATAAAGTCCAGGTGAATCTTGATATGTATGTATATATCTAGATCTATCTGAACAAGTCCAATTAGTTCCTGCAAATCCATGCCTATAGAGAATATCATCCAACCGTGCATCCTATTGCCTCGGTGTTGCCGAGAGTATTACGTATCGTCAGGTACTTGGGTACCGACATACCATGGCTTGACCGAAGAAGCGATTTCTCAGTATAAATTTCGCTTGATATAGGATGGAAGTATTCCTTCAGAGATGTCGTCAAGCAATACATAAACCCCAGGTGCCCAGCCTCACCGCCCACCGATTCTTCAAGGCGAGTCAGATCAAGCCTGGAGGGACGCTTCGGATACTAAGATCTGCCCCTCGTTCGCAACTTTCCACCTACTACAAAATCTACCACCATTTCTGAAACGCCCAAGGGAACAGATCAACTCACCATGCCCGACGATAAAAAAGAACCGCTCCTCTCCACCTCGGACGATCTACCCCCGGCCTATGAAGCCACAACTCCAACACTCGTCCCTTCAAAACGCCAACTCCCACCACCCCCGCCTCTCCCTCTTCCCGTGCTCCAAGACCTTCGCAGCAAGCGCGTAGTCCTTGCCTCACAATCCCCGCGCCGCCGCCAAATAATTTCCTACCTGGGCCTGCCTAACATCGAAATTATCCCGTCCGACTTCGCCGAAGACCTCCCCCACAGCCTGCAACCCTTTGAATATGTCCTAGCAACGGCCACGCAAAAGGCGCAAGATGTGTACGCACGCGAGATCGTCAACGAAGAAAAGGGCGAACCCGCGCTCATCTTAGCAGCGGATACGATCGTCGTGGAGCCTCAATCGGGTAGTATATTGGAAAAGCCACGCTCGGAGGCGCACCATATTGCTATGCTCAAGAGTTTAAGGGATACGAAGACACATAAAGTCTATACGGCAATTGTGGCGATGGCGCCGCTAGATAGTGCGCGGGATCCCGGGTATGCGATTGAGACAGCGGTTGAGGAGACAAATGTCAATTTTGATGGCGCGGTGACGGATGAGTTGATTTTGGCTTACGTGCGGACGCGGGAAGGGGTTGATAAAGCGGGAGGGTACGGGATGCAGGGACTGGGGAGTATTTTGGTGGAAAAGATCGATGGGAGTGCAGATAATGTTATTGGGCTGCCGTTAAAGACAACATTGAAGGTTATTGAGAAGGTTATGGCGAAGGCAGATGATGACGATCTGTTGGGAGGAGAAGTGGAAGGGGATGGGGAGTCAGAAGAAGATTGAGTGTTATTTGGCATCGATGTTTAGACGTTAAGACGTTCGAGATACCCAGTGGGTTATAAATGGAAGGGAAGTATCCGGAAATAGTCACATTTCAAGCCCAGTGAGATCAAGGTCTATCCTGAGTTAGGCTACCGATAAAAAAATCAGATAAAATATACAAAGGCAGACGCCCTAACATAGAAAATAACTCTGATATAAAGTGACGAAAATAAAAATGGGTAAAAGAGAGAAACCAAACATGTTCAGTCTATGCCTTCCAGATCCGCTTGACAGTCTCTGTCAGACCGACATCGTTTGTTTCAAGTTCGTACAGGCCAACAGCCGTGGTAAGAGTGAAACCACGCAGAAGCCAGTTCATGAATGAAGCAGTCTTGGGGACACGGCGTGTAGGGAAGTAATCGATGATAGATGCCCTGCAGAGGCGTTAGATTTTCGCATTATGAATTTGAAGCCAATGTGAGACATACTGGAATCCAACGTGAGAGTGAAGGATGATGAGCGAGCAGAGAATGGCATCCGTCGTAGGGTTGAGGGAGCCGGCAGCGAAAGGAGCGATGGTAAGAGGGATCAGACCAACAGCGACCAGTCTATTTAACGACATTAGTAAAGTTCTGAATATATATTGCGACATCCGCGAGAGTTCGGCGCACCTCTCAAAAGTCCAGTGGTAGCTGCCGTGCGAAGGGTGAGGCGTAGGGATAGGAGCCGGGTCGTTCACTATGTAGAAGGCTAGTTAATATCCGTCCAACAAGTGATGTGCTTCTCGAGATATTCCGCATATCTTTCTATCGACATATAGGACTCGAATATTCGATTTTCTCCTCTTCCAGATTGCATATGCCAGACTCGCGAGGATGGGTGTGAAAGTTTAACGTACTTGTTCCCCGGATAGATTCTATATTGAGAATTGATTAGCATCATTCTTAACACCCGCATCCTCTTGGGCTATGCCCAATAAACCCTCCAAATCTTAGAAATCCGACAAAGCAACAGTTCTGGTAGACTCACGAGGCTCAGGAGGCAGGATCTGCTTCTTCGCGGAGGCGTGGAAAGCCACGACCTGGGAGACCCCAGCGGCATTCCGGGTCGCCAGCGGCGTCCGGAAGGCAGAGAGGCAAGACTGACGCATTAGAGAAGCCATTGTGATAATTTTGGTGTTAACGCCGAAAAAAATTGACCTCTTTCCGCGATTCAGCGCACTGGGAGACACAGAACAGAAGATACAGTCGTGAAGTCGAAGTTCCGCAGGAACCTCGGGAGTCCGCTCGGGATGCAGTCATCACATTACGTATCAGGTGATTGGCTGGCTACCCTCCGCCCAGCCGAATTTGGCCGACTGTCGGCAATCCAGTCGTTCATGCGACGGCACGAGCCACGAGATGAGAGTTGTGTTCTGCATTTCTATATTTTCCTTTTGTATATTTGAGAAGGGTCCCTATCCAGAGGGACCTGACACCATTTGCGCCCTTTTAAGACGTTTTATGACAAACAAGGATCCGTTTAAAAAGATGCTACCAGTCTCAATATCAATATATTGGCGTAATTCTTCAATTGCCGAGGGTGAGAATTAACCCGCAGGATGTTATTGCGCCTCAAGCAGCATCTATCCTATGAAAATACGCCCAAAAACCATACAAGCCAACTTGCCATGATTATCATCACTCATTAAAACTTCAAGACAGCCTTGCCCAAGTTCTTTCCATGGAAAATGCCGACCAACCCTTCCGCCGCGTTGTCAACGCCCTCCGTTTCGTGGATGAGGGTCTTGAATGAGCCATCCTTGATCCACTTCTGCACATTCTCCTGATGCTCCTTGGTGTACTTGTCTCCCATTCCAGCATCACCGACAATAAACCCGCGCATAGTCAGACGCTTTGTAAGGACAAAGCTGATGTTCTTGATCGGATACGGTGCGCTGTTGTACTGAGAGATCAAACCGCAGACGACGACGCGGCCAAAGTTGTTGATCGCCCCCAGTGCCGCGTCCAAGTGCTCGCCTCCAACGTTCTCGTAATAGATGTCGATGCCGTTAGGGGCCAGGCGAGCTAGAGCATCTGCAGGCTTTTCCTTCTTATAGTTGAAACCGCCATCAAACCCGAGGTCCTTGATAATGTAGTCGAGCTTCTCATCCGATCCTACACTACCGATGACCTTGAGTCCCTCATGCTTGGCAAGTTGACCGACCAACTGACCGACGGCACCGCTGGCGGCGGAGACGAAGATCGTCTCTCCCTTCTTTGGCTGGCCAATCTCATAAAGCGAGGAGTAGGCCGTCAAGCCCGGCATACCTAGTGCACCCAAGAAGACCCTGATGTCCTGGATACCCAGTGGGTTTTCGAGGGGACGGATTCGGGACAGTTCATCAGCGCCTACCGAGACATACTCTTGAATAGGTAGGCGTCCAATGATAAGGTCGCCTTCCTTGTAGGAGGCATTGTTGGAACGGACAACCTTGGCGATAGTTGCGCTTTCAATAGGCTTGTTGAGAAAGAAGGGGGGAGCGTAAGATTTGACTTCAGCGCTGCGCATACGACCTCGCATGTAGGGATCGAAGCTGGTGTAAAGCGACTGCAAAAAAACGCCGTCCGCAGGTGCCGCTGCGTTTGCATCGTATGAAGCCGACTCAATGACGAGGTGCTCCCCGGGAACAGGGTATCCCTCGGGGATTTTCTTGAAGACGAGAGCTTTATTTGTGGCCATTGTAGTTAGAGGTGTCAAAGATACGTAAGAGCAAAGACAGGGCCGTAAGTTAGGTCTAGAAATAGATGTGAGTTGATGATATCAGAATAGCGAACCTCTCGGCATGGAATGTTTTGGATTTATAAGTTCCTCGGTATGCTCCAGAATGGAGCGGGGCAGAGCCAAAATGTGCAGACTCAGACTGCGGATTATAAAGCATGATCCCACCTCGAGAACATTCTCGAGAAAGGGAGCCAGAACAGCAGATCTCAAACGTGTGGCCCAGTGGTTATGCCTGGAGTTGGTTCCGAAAACGGTATTGTGGCGCGTAGCAACGAAGATAATGCTAGATTAACTGGTATAAAATGACAAGGATCTCGGTGAACGGGCCGTCAGAATGATCGTTTGCGTGATGGCGCCGCAAGAAGACACTTTCTTGGTGAAAGAACCGAGGATGGACTCCATCTGGAGCTCGGGGGTATTGCTTGAAGGAGGAGACATCGCCCTCGGCGCTGGTGAGGTCACCATGAACTAGAAACCGGAGCAGTCGGTGAAGAAAAAGCTCCCTCTACTCTTTCCCCTTCGGGTTGTGCATCAAGTTGTGACATCAAATTAACTGAGAATGAGACTTCAGATCCAGAGCTCCGACGCAGCGACGATTGGCAGTCCTCGTATAATAATTAAAAAGCGACTTCATGTTGGTTACGAACTCCAGCCAAACTGCAGTGGACAACAACGCGCCATTGCCGACCAGAAAATGATTCCTGAATTCCTTGAGAAGGGCCCAGAGGAGCCTGGCGTCCTTATACGTACAAGTAAGTAACACCCCCCTCCCTTTTAGTAGTAGTGAGGAGATGTAAACTGGAAAGCAAACACTCAAAGCTGAAGCGACTATATGCCTGAGGCAGCAAATTCCGACAGATCGGCCCGGTCAGGCGCAATACGTACTTACGTACTGAGAGTCCCTACTCAGAGCCAAAAAAAAAACATGATGTTGAAATTAACCTTGTCAGGGCAGATAATCAAAATGATCAATGGATATAGATCTGTCGATGGAGTCGCCCCCAATTTCGCCTAGATCTTAGAGGCCTCTCCCCGTAGTCAGCGTGCGATGGCCAATTATCGCGAGTATCTCCCTTCGCCGCCTTCCAGGCAAATCCGCGACTTTTCTGCCAGTTGATATTTTCTAGATAAGAAGTTCCGTCTGGGTTTTTTTCCCTCTCTTCCATTGCCATCAGCCGTGCTTCTTCCCAACTTTGTTTGGATTAATTTTTAGTGGTCTGTTGTCTTTCTGCATCTTCTTATTCGGGGCATTTTGCATACATATACTCTATATCTTACCAACCATGTTGGTTGCCTTTCGTCGCTCCGCTGTGAGCCACGCGCTGCGATCCTCTCCCCGAACGTTGTCGGCGCGACCAACTCCGCAGCGCCTCCAATCGATCTATTCATCAATTACGGGGCCATCATACGCGCCAAATTCCTCTTTTCATTCATCTCCGTTTAGATCCTCATCGGCGATCGCTGTTGAGAACAATGACACCCAGAAGTTTGATCTGGACCAGCCCGGGCAATCGACTTCGTTCCAGAAGTTAGCAGAGGACGGAACAGTTTCACGTCCATTAATCGACTGTATTACATCGCATTTGCGCCTGGAGAATATGACGGAAGTCCAACGATTGACTATTCCGGAGTCCGTAAATGGCGGAGACCTGTTTGTTTGCCCTTCCCAATCTGCTCTCTCGCCCCCTTTAAATTCAATCGTACTAATTTGAAAATCCAAAAGGCTGGCCCAAGCCAAAACTGGTACCGGTAAAACACTTGCTTTCCTTGTTCCTGTCATGGAGAGGCTTGCCAAAGATCGCTCTTTGAATAAATCGATTATTCGTCGTGGCCGGAAAGTTGGAACTATTGATATTAGGTCAATCATCATTTCTCCCACGCGAGAATTGGCCGAACAGATTGCAGACCAAGCTGCACCCCTCGCTGCCAGACTTGGCTTGATTGTACAGAAAGCGGTGGGAGGCACTCAGAAACGGGAGGCTTTGCGACGAGTCTATGCAGAGGGCTGTCACATCCTAGTTGCAACTCCCGGTAGACTTCGGGACCTCCTATCCAACCACACCGGTGGCGTGACGGCCCCAAAGCTGTCTTCGCTTGTTCTAGATGAGGCAGATCGCTTGCTGGACCAAGGGTTCGCTCCCGAACTTATGGAGATTCAAAACCTGCTTCCGGACCCAAAGCAAGTCGACCGTCAAACCCTCATGTTCTCTGCCACTGTTGCCCGCGAGGTTATGGGTATGGTTCGCAACACCATGAAGCCAGATTTCAAATTTGTTAAAACCGTCAACGACAATGAGGTCCCCACGCATCTCTCTGTTCCGCAAAAGGCAGTTATCCTAAATGGCCTCGAAAACGCTATGCCAGCTCTATTAGAATTGACCAAGCTTAATCTGAATAGAGACCCCCCATTCAAGGCCATTGTGTACTTGAACTCTACCAAGCACACGAATACTACATATGAAATATTTAAGCACCTACTGATTGACCCCGAAACACCGCGAAGCGGTAGCCCTCTCGAACCGTTGTTCCAAGGCGAGATTCATTCTCGTCTGTCACAGGCCGAAAGGACACGAGTTTCGAACAGGTTTAGAAGGTGTAAAACGGGTATCCTCTTCTCATCCGATGTCACCGCGCGTGGTATGGATTTCCCCGGTGTCACCCATGTTATCCAAATCGGTTCGCCAAGAGATCGTGATACCTACATCCATCGTCTGGGCCGAACGGCCCGCGCCGGCAAGAAGGGCGAGGGATGGACCTTCCTCCATAAAGGGGAAAGGGATGCATTCAATAACATGTTGCGGGATATTCCTGTCGACGTGGACAACAAAACCCTCACTACCGCTAGCCTCAACATGTTGGACGAGGCCGAAGTGACACCCGAGGCTCTATCCACCTTGATGCAAGTCAAGTCGGCCACTGCTCAACTTTTGCCAGCTGCCAAGGAGGAGACAGTCTCAGCCATACTTGCGACTTTGTCTGGAACTTTCAAAAACAAGCGGATGTTGAGCACCGCTATCGAAGACCTCTCGGTTCATGGATTCGGCCTACGCTCTGCACCATCGATGAGTGAGTTTAAGTCCCAGGCTTTAGGTCTTGGCCAGGAGGATGGCTTTGCCATCCGCAGTCGTCGCCGCAGCAATTACTCCCACGGTGACCGCGGCGTTCCTCGCGGTCGTGGTCATTCCCGTGATTCCTTCGGTAGCGGCCGCGGCCGTCGCGATTCCTTCGGTAGCCGTCGCGATTCCTTCGGTGGTCGTCGCGATTCCTTCGGTGGCCATCGCGATTCCTTCGGTGGTGGCCGTGATCGTGGCACCCACCGTGGGCGTGGTGGCCGAAATGACCGCAGTGACCGTGAGAACCTTGGCGAGTGGCTCAACCAACGGAGGGATGAATGGGCTTAAGCCATACAGCTAGGCCTCCAGGTTCTCAATACCACCAAGTGTCTCCCAGCCGTTAGGAGGTAATACTTAGACACCCACCCAATTTGCCCCCTAATAACGGACCTACGCTCAACGACAACCTGCTTCTACTTCTTTGAAAAGAAAAGGCTTCTCTCTCCCTCTCGCAAGCCTGATCGAATAAAAAAGGGGGCGCTTGACGACCCCAAAAACCAACAATCCAAACTCAGATGCATTGGGCGGCGTTTATATTATTCGGAAACTACTCACCTCTCCCTCTCTTCCTTACTCGCATTCACTCCGGGTGTCTCAATTCGCTGCTGACGGTTCGATTCGACTTGCATTATTCTTGTAATTTTATACATACCTGTTTTGCTTCGGCCTACCACTTACGATACCTACTTACTTATTCTGAATGGTGTTCGATAGGGATATAACTTCGAGTTAACCATACCTTGTACGCTACGAATGTGTTGGATGTATTATAGATAGGATTCTTTTCCTCCTGTGTTATTAATTGAAGATTAATTTCCTTATGCTTTTGCCCCACGTGAATAGTTAGGTTGATTGCGTTGGTAAACAATTCGATTTTAGTAGAACGAAAATAGAGTGAAAATACAAAGGCCCAAGTTCTATCCAAATGCCCTATCCTCGAAGTAATCGTTAAATCATCGAAGCGAAGTATAAAAACAGAGCGGTCACTAGTGAAAGTGAAGGGAAATATGTAAGGTTTATTGAAAACTCGAAAGAACTCTCACAGAGAATCTAAATAGAGGACAAATAACAAATTAACTGGATGAAGATATCATACCATTCCCATCCTCTCTAAGTGGGAAAATCTATTTCTTTTAAATTTTTTGTCGTTCCCCTTTTTCATCGTCATCTGGAGAGGTACCTAGATCGTACGTTGTAGTTAGTAGATCCCGTCTACTCACGGCAAATCATGTCGTCACGAGCAGGACCAGTGCCGATCCATTTCACAGGAACGCCACCTAGTTCGCGCTCAATGTACTCGATGTACTTGCGGGCATTGACGGGTAGATCATCGTATTTCTTGACGCCCATGGTGTTGCTCTTCCAGCCGGGTAGCGAGACGTACTCAACCTGAACTTTGTCGAGGACCGCGGGATCGGCCGGGATGGTGTTCTCTGAGCGAGTGCCGTCGGGAAGGGTATAGGCAACACCAACCTTGATCTCGTCGAAGTCGTCGAGGACGTCGAGTTTCGTGAGGTTCAGAGCGGTGTAATGGTTGATTGCTTGGGAATAGCGGAGGAGGACAAGATCGAACCAGCCGCAACGACGCTTACGACCAGTTGTGACACCGAATTCTCTGCCAACACTCTGCAGCTTCTCACCATCTGCGTTAAGCTGTTCGCTAGGGAAAGGACCGGAGCCGACGCGAGTGGTGTAAGCTTTCACAACACCAATGATGGACTTGATGCTGGTAGGGTTTAGAGACAGCGCTTGCACGGCGCCACCTAGGCCCGTAGATGAGGATGTCACGAAGGGGTAAGTTCCGTGGTCGAGGTCGAGCAAGAGGGCATTCGCACCTTCAACCAAGGTGTTGGGCGAATCCTTGTGCTTGTTGAAGAAGGCCAATTGGTCGACGATGTGGGGGACGAGCTGCTTACGGTACTCCTTGAACTGGTTGATCTCGTCCTCAATATCGTAGTCCAGCTCCCCGAAACGTGCCGTGTATCCAGTGTGAAGAGTCCTTAGTTTTCGCTCAAAGACTTCCTCGTCCAAGATCTCTCCAACACGCACACCTCTCCTTGCGGCCTTATCGGCGTAGCAAGGTCCGATTCCCTTCCCAGTGGTTCCCACCTTTCGGCCACCAAGACCCTTCTCCTCCAACCCATCGACAACGGAATGCAAATCGAAACAGACGTGGGCGCGGTCCGAAATGAAAGCGCGCGCCGCGGCACCCTTCAAACCTTTGCTCTCAAGCGCCAGCAGTTCCTTGAAGAAACTGGGAACGTGGACAACAGTTCCCGCACCGATCAGGTTAATACAACGATCTGAGACAAGACCGGAAGGGAGGATATGGAAGTCGTAGGTCGTGTTGCCGTGGACGATGGTGTGTCCAGCGTCTAGTTCCGCGGGTTAAAATATGCGCTGTGCGCAGAGGACGGTGAACTTACTGTGACCACCGGCAGCACGACAGCAGAGCGTCGCTTGCTGCGACAGCATGTCCGTGATCTTCCCCTTTCCTGCTCTGCAATTAATATATATCTTTCCACCCCGGACCAAGCCGGACTCGTAAGAATAACCCACCTTCATCGCCCCACTGGCTACCAAGGACAATTGTAACAGTCATGATGAAACAATCGATGTCAATTTAAAACTAATTAACAAGGCGTGTTCAAGATCGAATCTGCAGAGAATTTGCGATTAGCCAAGGCGCCGACAGGAAAGAAACCAATTAAGCCCGTCAGGGCCGGAGAAAAGAGCGCAAGAACCAGAAGACATACAGAAATTGACCAGCAATACCTGTAAAGTAGAAGAAAAATAAACCACTCGAAAGTGATTGGAGCAGCAGCGAAACCTTCGCGACCGTCAAAGACCAAAAGCCAAAACAAGAAAGGGAGGGGAGTTGCGAATGACGGCGACCATATACTTTTTGCCTCTGCCCGTGACTCAACGTAACTATACTGTATCCTGCTGTATTTTACTGCCTTTGCACATAGCAGATATTAGTATGGTAAGTAATGACTCCCACGGCGGGGCTGGGGTGACCGGATCTGGCAGGGGCCGCCACTTTCCTGATTTGGGATCGGACTGCCGGTATCGGCGGTTTTAGGGCTTAGGGGTAGGGCTGGCTCTAGGGCTATACAGATATCAAATCAGCTTTTATGGATTAATCAATAGATGGATGCTATGTTCTTGAGTCCAGACTCTTTGCAGAGGTCTAGGGAATTCACAAGGGCCCCACTATCGGGGTCATAACAACTGGATTCCCAGCCGGAACCCAGGCTCCAGAACAGAAGTGCACTATTTGCAGGAGATATTGTCGACTTATCTACTTTCAGATTAGTTGCAATATTTTATAGCGCATCTAGAATATGGCCATAATAAAACGGGAGAGTAACTAAGCAAATTTCATTAAATATGCAGTGGATAATCATGGACATCTAATCTATGTCTCGTCCCCAGTAGAACCCCGAGATATGATACACCCAAAAGAACATAACCAACCCTAGGTATAGAGATATATCGCGTAACTTCCCAGCGCCATCCCATATGCAAATTAAAAAGAAAGAAAGAACCGACTTCATCTTCCTAGAGTATCTTGCCCCCAGCACGAACCCATTCCCTCATCTGTCCGTACTTCAGCATACACTCTAGGTGTCTCTCGCGCGCAACCTCCCAATGCTTCATCACCTTCTCATCCTGCACCAGTGCGTTCTTGTACGACGTGAAGCCTCGTCGGGGTGTAGGTCCCGCATCGTCATCGCTGTCATCGCCGGAATTCTTCCCTGCGTCATCATCACCTAGGCGTGTCGAGTCTCCAATCGCACCGAGCCAGTTGGGGGCCATCTCAGTTAGATTGCTCTTGTGGCGGGAGAGAAAATGGCCGACCATCCGGCCGTCAAACGTTTCCCACTCGCGGACGTAAGTGTTTATTTCGGCAATATACCGATCTAATGCCATTCGCGGTATCGCCAGTTGTTTTGAACCAGCACTTACCGGGACAGGCTGTGGAGGTTCAGGGCGCTTGGGAGGATTAGGGCAGATCAACTTGCGAGGATGTGTGTCGTCCACAGTTGTCTTTGGTGCCTTGGGCTGTGAGTCAAACGGGAGAGTGGACGATATATCCTTCAGATCTTCCAGACCACCGCTATTCGTGGAGGTGAAAGGGAATACACCGCCCAAAATGTTCATGTTTAGAGGATTTCCTGAAGTTTCCTTGTTCCCATTAGACTTTGAGTTTGGCCGGGGTTTTGACGGGGGTGGTGCTGTCTTCTCTCTGCTGCTATTCGGCCTCTGAGGCGCTGGTGATGGCTCAGCGGTTTTGGCTGGAGTTTCATCGTCAAGGTCCATGGCTTCCCCACCCACATCAGGTGCCTGGCTTTCGCGTCCTCCGACAGTTGACTCAGCTTCCTCAGCTTCCGTTGCCACGCTGGCTTGTGGCGGAGTAGGCCGTACCCTGTTAGGTGGTCTGGTTTGCTTTCGAGGGCTTCGGGTGCGCTGGGAATTTGGCTGCCGTTGGGCATTATCGCTAGTCGGCAGAGCATCTGAAAAGTTCTTGAACTGGAAAGCCGCCGTCCAGTCAGCACTTAAGAAGTTTTCAGATGAAAAAGGTGCTTGCTGCTGAGAGGCTGATTCCGGGTTGGACGACTCGCGTTTAGGGGTGCTATCTGAGGCGGCCGGCGGGCTGTTTCTTGTTGATGGGCGTCCACGGTAATTGGAATTCGCCGTATCTTGAGAGTAACCAAATGGCTCTCTGCGACTAGACTTTCGTAAGTCATCGTGGCTATTGCTCTTGAAGGTTCCGTTCTGAGGGAACTGCTTGGCTCCAAACGAGAAATCGGCTTTCTTATTAAATACCGACGTGTCGGAGTTATTCCTTGCTGAACTCGCAGAGTCAGAATCGTGGGCCGCGGCTCCAAACCATCCGTTGGTGCTATGAAAGTTGGAAAATTTATGTTGCTGTCGAAGTCTACTCTTAGGTACTGCCTTGGGCTTGAACTTAACCTCGTCCTCGCTGAGGTCACTAGAACTGGTCGAATCATAATTCCGCGTCTTATCTGGGCTTGCGCTTCGGTGTCGCCCATTCTCTTGCGGGTCGGGGCTCGGCGGGTTCGTGTGCGGACGCGAGTTGGGATTCTTAGGGGAGGCACGCGCGCTGTCGGAGCGTCCAAGCATAGAACTAGAGAAGAAAGTCTTTTCGCCTCCAGTGGTGGCGTACGCGCTCCTTGTCCGCTCATATTCCGGAGTACCCATATTATTTTCTGTACCGTTAGGGAACCCAGCCGCAGGTTTCCTCGCAGTCGGAGAAGGCGCCGCACCGAAACGATCAAATCGGGAGGCATTCCTATAAGAAGCCGTGTTTGCGGCCATCGGTTCATCACCACCTGCAGCTCTTGGGGCAAAGCCTTGCTTCTTCTTTGAAAATTGTGATTGAGCATGAGCAGACTCGGCGGCCGTAGGTTTCGTGCCCGTGTACATTTTCTCGTATGCGGATTTCGGTCTCGCGGATCCGTTTGCTGTGCCAGTCGGTCTGGGAGCCGCCCCAGGCTGTCCTGATCGTCCGGTGCGAGGATCAAAAGAGGACCATCCGGGCATGCCATTTCCTTTCATCTCCTGGAATCCTCGGAATGCATCCGCGCGGGTTTGCGTTTCGTCGCGCATCTTCTCCCACGGCTGCTTCGGTGCAGCCCGTGCGTAACTAGCATATCGCTGAGCACCCGAGGAAGGGCCATGGTGGAAGGACTTTGGACGTTCGGAGAAGGGCGCCTTTGTATTCGGTTTGGCGGAGGGGAAGCCCGCCGTCGGGTCTTTTCGAGCAGCAGTCGGTCTGGTAGGCCCATAGAAACCATTTCGAAGTCGATCGGTATCGTATTTCAACCGCTGGTGTGGATCAATCAGGATCTCGTGTGCCGCTTGAATCGCCTGGAACTTTGCGTTGGATTCCACCTCTCTGCCTGGGTTCCGATCCGGATGATACTTAAGAGCTAACCAACGTCAGATGCGCTCCCTCTTAAATTATTTTCTCCATCCCGGTTTCCTCACCTAATTTCCTAAATTGCTTTTTGATATCCTCGGAATCTGCACTATGCGAGAGACCCAGGTCGGCATAATAGTCTCTTCGCACGTCTAGCTTGACCATTTTGAAAGAGCAAGCAGCCCGGAAGCGGACTGTGTCTCGGGGATGGTAAAAGAGGGGGTACCACTGTAGTCTGGTATACGTCTACTCCTGCTGTACATGACCTGGCGCGGGGATAGCTAGGTCTAAAGCAAATAATCGTGGTTCTGCGAGGGTCGCGAGAGGAAGGGGAGGCGCGCGAAAGAGTGGAATGCGATGGTGAATAGCTTCGAAGGGGTTCGACCGTTCGAGCGGGTTAGGGACCGGTTTGCTTTTTTTTTTTCACTATAAATTTCATAGGTCAGCTGGAGGCGTTTCTTATTGTTTTACTCTCCTGAAATCTGACAGGTTGAAATACCTGCACTAAGGTGCGTTGCGTTCCCCGGTAAAAGGACGTCACGCAGTAGCCGGTTGTCGTTTATCCCAGTCCTTTGTTTATGGCGACTAACGGTGAAGCTCTCTCGCCCGACTCAAATGTCTTTCCCTTTCCCCTTCCTTTCCTTTCCGTGGGTAATCGAGAACCTCAACCGGTCGAACGGTGGTAGCACAATGACACGCAGGAGCCGAATTCGCGGGGCGGACAGGCAGGCAGATCGTGGAAAACTCGACAGCAGGCGGCGATAGGCAGATGCAGGAACCGCAGCGTTGAAGGAACGTCAGACGGACAAGCAAAGCTGTACCTTGGTCTGACCCGAACCCAGCTGCGAAGAGCAGAGACAGTAGTAGTGGACCTGATCGGATCTTGACCCCGTGCACTTTTTTTTCCCCGGCTAGCGTGGAGGGGAGGAGGCAGGCCAACGAACGGATGGGCGGACGATCGATCACGGATCACCAGACGAGAACTACTACAAGCTGTCTACCGCCGGGTGTTTGTTTGGCTTTCAGCCGCAAACCGACAAGTTTATTCGGCGAGATATCAGAATAGAAGGGGGAGAGAATTTGGAATAATTAATTAATGAGAGACTCAAGAGCCAGGTGCGCTGTCCCGCAGTCAGCCACAGGGCAGAAAGAGCCTAAAGGAACCTGACCTGGATCCTGGAACTGCAATGTGAATGTTGGTGGTCGATCTGCCCGCCAACAAGCCAAAAAACGCCAAAGCCGCCCGCAGATTCACGCTTGCTGCCCAATTTGCATCATCTTGGCCTCGTCTTAGCCTGGCCTTGATACTGAAGGAAAAGTTATTTTCAACGGTTGGACTTCTCTCTTTTCAGGCTCGCTCTAACTCCCTACCAGAGTAATCTCAAATGTACTACTCTGCTTATACAGGCCATCTTCCATCCATTAACATTGGCGGTATTAGACAAATACAGAGAAATATATATACTGAGGAGGTAGTATGCAACAGGAAATGACTTCATAAATCGTTTCATCGAGTCCTTTTATAGACCCAAGATCCCAATAACCGTTTTTCCCCCTTGGACCCAAAAAGTAAGAAATAGGAAGAGAGGTAGGATAAGAAAATCTATACCCCCGAATACCCCGGTCCTCCTCCGCCACCAAAGAAATACCCTTCAAGTAAATCGTAATTTGCGTTTTCGCTCCAGTCATGCTGGAAGTCAACTGCCATGCCGAATCCAAGATCGATGCCAATATTATGCCCAGCCTCGTTGCCCAAAGACGGCACCTGATATTTGTATTCAGAGTTTTCATCAGAGCCCATCGACATCTGACGCTCGATGCTTGCCGGGTCGTAGTCTAGGTAATCGAGACCCACGCTACCGGGGTGTTCTTGGTCGGTGGGTTGGAATGGTGGAAGGCCGGTGGTCGCACTGACGCTATTTGGAGATGCGCTTTGCTGGGGGGAATTTCCGTAGTAGTATTGTTGTTGTTGTTGTGGTTGTTGTGGCTGCTGTGTTTGTGGCGAGACGGCACTCTCGAAACCACCATAATATTCCATGGAAGGATTGCGCTGGATATTTGGTCGCGCGAAGTTTGGATCCGAAGCCTCGGGGATAGGATAAGGTTGCTGTTCTACCTGCTTTCCCAGGCCGCTGCTGCCCTGCCCATTATCGCCAAAGAGATCGTCAAGGTTCATGTCAAATCTAGGGACGGGTCGAGATTGTCTCATTTGAATCTGTCGCTGGGCTATGTTATGTCGCTGTCGTTGGTCTGCTTGTTGTCTTGCGTATTGCCTTGACCGGGAGTGTGTCGCATTTGACCGTCTCGATCCGAAATTGGTTCTTGGTATCCGGCTTAAATCAACCTGTGGTCCGAAACCGGTTGTCGAGAGACACATTTCAACTGTTGCTTTGCTCATACGCTCAAACGCGTCACGACAGGCTTCTGCCGGCGGACACTTGTGCATCAAATCTCCAAGCACAGACGTCGCCGCAAGGACAGTGAAATCCACCTCGTCGGGTGTCTGCAAAAAGTAGCGGCTGTTAACATTTGCTTAAAAACAAAATGATATGACAAACATACCAGACGACTGCGCACGTAAGGCGAGTGCCAAATTGCATACAAGAATGAGATACCTAAAAAATAAACCGTGAGCAAAACAAATAACCTACAAGAAGCGGCGTTTCCTTACCTGCCATAAAAATGTGGTGCGTTGCCAAATACGTATAATTGACGAGGCGCACACGATGCATTTGGCGGTATATTCGAATGACTTTTTGCCCGGCCTCAGCAACCTTGTAATAGATATCATCCTCGTCCTCTTCATCTACCTGCGAAAACGACGGACTGGATACATCCTCGGCAGGGGAGAGCTCGTCCGCTAATTCAGCAGGAACAGTGAGGCTCTGTTGATATAGCATGATAACTGCTTGCCAATAGTTCAGCTCCAGGAACTCAAGCGGAAACCGCACGCCGTTCTCCTGAGGTGCCGGTGCACTCTGCTTCCATTCCAGCAGCCGCCGGTCAACGTCTCTCCTCCATGAGCGGAAGGAGTCGAATCCTTGCAGGAAGGGTGACACGACGTCGGCGCGCATGAAGCTCTTGGCAGCATGTGGGACTCTCTGGCGGGCGAATCGTGCCTGCTGGTGCTGTAGGACGTCCTGAATCTCCGACTGGAGCAGGCGCAGCTTAAAATAGTGGAATGCGGAATGTTTATAACTCGGGGAGCCTTCCGGCGCCTTCATTATCCCCGATTTAGTGATATATTTGTCTTCCAATATGGATGGGAACTCGGTGCTTATGGCCTGATCGCTAATCCCAAATGGGCGGCCGACGCAGCAACTGACGAGGCGATCGAAGCTGTAGCAACACCACCATAGTCGCCGGCGAAAATCACGCACCCATTCTCGACGGCCTCGCTCATGGACGTCGATGCGGTGCTTCCCTTTGTCACTGCTTTTGTCATGCGTACGATTTATATTGACATTTCCAGGGCCATCGATGCCAGTTCCGTCCTCGTAGTGGAGCCCAAGGTCAACCGCAAGGCGCATCGCAACCCCGACAATATACCAGAGACCGGGTGCTACAGGACGGAGTAGAGCGAAGCTAGCCAGGAGAAGGACTGCTTGGAGTTCTTCTAAAGCACCGAAACCGTCAGTGGTTGAAGAAGTCGACAGGAATGACTCTAAGTGGACAATTGCAGAAGCGTGGTATTCTTCTGGCTGATATTGATGACTCGAGAGACGCTGTCTCTTGGTTGCGGACGGGGAATTGTTTCGACCCTCCTTCTGACCATCTACTGGCTTGTCCTCGAAAATGATACCGGCGCCAATCGCAAAGACGATGTTGAGAATGTATAGGCTGCGAGGCGAACGATTTTTCTCGTCAAGTGCATAGGTGCGATCAAGCAGTTCCATAAAGTCAGTGCGGTGGACGATGGGTATTTGCGGATTCGCATGCTCAAAATAGAGGTCGGCTAACCTCTCAGCCAGTTCCCTATCAGGGAACGCTGCACACTTCATCATTGGCCGAGTCTGTAGCCCGAAGAAGGAGTCTCGAGTGGTGCTCCCTTCAGTGCCCGTGGCGCTATGTGGTAAGCGCTCCTTAGGGCGCATTGGACCACGCTCCGATGTATTCCCAGAGACTGAACTCTTCACAGCAGCAAAGACAACCCGTGCAAAGGAGATGCCCGAAGTCGACCCCAGATACCGTGGATCTGAAGTCCCTTGCACCGAGACCATCCCAATATTCGAAACGAGGTTCTGTATCCGCCAGTTATCTTCTTTATCAGTATCCTGGTTGCTCTCCGGCCCTTGGCCGCCTCGCGCGTCTTTCTCCAACCCAAGAGCAGATCTATCCCTCTCCCTCTTTACTGGCACCAGATTGTCATTTCCGTCGTGAATAGACCCTTCAGCAACCGATGACCCGTTCGGGGGGGCCGCGTGTGCTTGTACTTGTTGCGTGGAATCATACCCCGCCTCCAGTCTGACAGCTTCAGCCTCATCAAAAGCTACCGCCGCATTAAACTCAATCCCGTTATCGATCAAGGCCCTTTCAAGGTACGAAACCCGCGACTCAAGAAAATACACGTAACTGCGTGGGATTTCGCGTTTCGTTATCGGGTCGTACCCGACACATCGGACCCCGGCCTTCTCACAAGCCTGGCATCGTGGAAGTCGTTGGTCACAGCGGTTCTTGCGCTGCCGGCAGCGGTTACAAGCGGACACATTGCGGAAGGAAGAGGAACTCGCCGAAGAGGTAGGAGCGGCGGCAGCGGCAGTGGCAATACCATCGTTCGTCGGCTGTTGTTGTAATTGCGGCGATATATCATGCGGAACGGCGACGGGCTCGGTTATGGGGTGTGGTCGTTTTCTTCCAACGGCCGTTGGCGAAATTGGGGAGGTAGGGTTTAACATAACGGTGGAAGGCGTGCGGACCAGTTGCGCAAATGTCCCACCATGTCTCGCCTGTGGATTCTCTTTTTATAGGGTGAATGCAAGCGAAAAGGCTGTCGTAGTGGTATACCGTAGGTGATCGGGAAACTGGGCAGCAGTACTCATATAGGCGATGCGATTCTTTGCTGTCCTGCAGGGATTGAACTTGGACTGCCAAGTTAGTCACCGTACTGTATGTAGCACTATCGCGAAGTTCACTTTTTATTTATAGTACTTGGTTAAAGTCTCCGATATGGTGGTCAAGGCAGAGGGCGATTCTGTCGGCAATGCGGAGCGCAATCGCAGCGCATGACGGAAGTAATCCGCAGCAGAGGCACGTTGAGCAGGGGAACGTGGTTGAGGTACCAGGAACAGGTGGGTAAAAAAAAAAAAGATAGAGAGATTCAGTAGCCAAGAAACGACAACAACCAGGCAGATTGCGACAGTGTCAGTGGATATTTTGGGAGACCTCCGCCAAAGTTGGGATGTGTAATCTCGAGTAAGATACCTCTCTGCGTGGGGGTGAAAGGTAGGAAGTCGAGCCTCGGTCGGAACTGGCTCAAGGCTCCAAGGCGAGAAAGTTCAAAAAGAAAACAAACAGAACAAAAACGACAGTATCAGAATAAACAGCAAGATAGAGCCTCCTCAAAGCCCTCAAGATCCGAAGCACTCGAGAGTCAACATCTCCAACTTGAAGGCTGGCACTGATCTCCGTGTCGCAATACGCCGAAATTACGGGGTCACCCCACGTGACTGCAGAAAAGGCAGCACATATGATTGGCTACTGATAAGGAATGGGTTTCCATTCCACTGACGATGGGATCGAGTCAAGTCACCCGCAGTTGATCTCGATATCAAATCTTATTTCGTCCCCTGCTATCATAAAAAAACACATTTAGAAGATCGTGGTCTGTCTGCTTGCCGCTGGCCTGGGTGTCCATGATGTTGGGTTAAAAGTATCGGCTGTCTTAGTATCGAATCGCTATCGGGCAACCCCGCACCGTCGATGAAGGGAATACTCGGCTCTTGGTGGACGAGAGCAATTCATCACAATAAGGCGGGGAAAGGCGCAGGGCGAGCCCGGGGCTACCTTAAACTATAGCGTACAAAAGATGAGAGTGACGAAGAGAGGGATGGGTTTCCTCCATCCATGAAATTGAGGTTATGAGAATGGCACCTGGGTAGCCGCATAAAACACTGAGATATAGCTAAAAACGACAAAGAGCCTCCAGGATGCATGGAACTTGAATAATGAAAAGACCGACCCGTTGAAAAAATGCCTCGAAATGATTCCTCCCAGAATTATTATAGCAGAGATCCTCCTCATGATATGATGCTTTTTGGTTCCCAACACATGCATGCATCCAGTCTATATAGTATAAGCGCCACCGGTCTTGAATCATGATTTAAAAATAAGAAATAAAAAGCGAGCAAATAGAAAAGAAGAAGGGGCGTATGGCTCACGGGCCTCATCAAAGGAAGCGAGCACAGAATAAACGAAGCTGAAAGGAGGCAACAATAAAGCGAAATCAGAAATTAGGAGAAAAAAGAAAGTAAAAAAATGATGTGGTCGTCGGGTATAGGTAGGTAAGACGGAGAGAAATGTAAAATGACGTTCATAAAGGCAAAGCGTAAAAAGTATGCCGCTGACCCCGAAGCCTCTGCAAGCCTCCAAGCGAGTAGGTTGGATTACTCACGCGCAGGCCTCGAGTCGGTGGCAGTTAATCCCATATTGGGGATTTCGAATTCATCGACGCTGGTGCGCGCTGAAGAGAGCAGTCTCCGCACTTCCTCGGCGGTGCCATCTTCTTTGTCCGCCGTGAAGGATCCCCGCAGGGCGTTCCTGCTAGAGTGAGACGTGTTTGGCTCAGGGTGTTTCTCATCAAGGTCCTTGCGTGGCTCGGACTCCTCCATCCAGAAGCTCTGAATGGCACCAATCGTACACACAATACCACACGCCCACCATGAGATCACAGAGTACCCGCTGTCAAGACCCTTGGAGTGGAGGAATCCGGTTACACTCGGTCCAAAAGCACGACTCAGGCTGGCGGTCGAGGCGGCAGCGCCATTGATTGATCCAAGAACCTTGGACGAGGGCGCTGCGTTGGCAAGCAGAATTGCGGTGGAGGGGAAGGCGATGACATGGAAGGTGATCTTGCAGATGAGGGCGACATATGCGGCCGCCATTTGAAGCTTCTCGGGTAGGAGAATCAGATATGGGACTAGCAAGTAAAGCGGCGGCCAAACGAGAAGCACGAAACGAAACGTGCGCAGGGTCCCAAAGTGGCGAACGACGAAGGGGAATAGCCAGAGCTGCGCGATCATGGAGTATACGCCTTGCACTGCAAGCATAAGTCCAATTGTTTTGGTTGTTAGTCCTAAGCCACCCGTAAACTTGAATGGCAGGACTACATTTGCGTCACTCTTCGGGGTGCTCAGGAAGACGGGCATTAGCTGGTCAAACGAGACGCTATGGCTATTGACATGTTAGCATTCAGCCTGGACAAACAGGCGCGCGCACTCTGGACCGAGTGACCCCGATGGTTGCATCGGATGGTTGTGGGGTAAACAAAGACTTACTATGCAAGGATTCCATATGCAATGATGTTGAAAACAACTTGTCTCGTAAAGGCCTTTGGCGTGCCACCTGATGGTTTACTCATCTGCTTCTCAATGTCGTCATCCCCGGCAAAAGCATCGACCTCATCCTTCACTGGGCCCAAACGAGGGGAGGATTCTGTGCTCCGGTACGCCGGCGGGGCCATCTCCTCATCGTCACAATCGGCTGAATCCGCTTCGACATCCGCGCCCTGCACGTCAGAACCCCAGCATCTGCCAATCAGCCAGTTGCCTAATTCCAACCCTCGGTCACGACGATACTTCTTTTCCGGATGGGTCTCCTCCAGGAACAGCAACCCAACCACAACCCCAGATACCAACACGACAACACAGACCAAGTTGGGCAGCAGAAACGGAAACTTATCGAATATGGTATCACGCGAGAATAACGAGGGATAATTGTCGCATGGCTGTGACAACGCACCGCCCATCGCCGGCCCAACGATGGACCCCAAACACCAGACGAACGGCATGATCGAGTAGGCGCGTGGCTGATGCTCTTTGACCGTCACAATCTCGGCGACAGTCGTCTGCAGAACCCCGATGTTCCCGTTCAAGAGGCCGCCCAAGGCTCGAGCAATCATAGCTGTCGCAAGGTTGGGAGCGAATCCAAACACGACCATACTAATGGCCGTTCCAATCAGGCCCATGACCAGCACCGGCTTCCTACCAATCTTGTCGCTCATCCGGCCCCAGAACATACCAGCTGAGAATTCGGCGAAAGTAAATGAGGAGGTGATTAATCCGGCGTAAAGGGCAATCTTGCCATCATCGTCTGCGACGTTGAACGATTCCACCATGTGATAGACATACGGGAAAATTGACATGAATGCGATTGGCTCGCAGATGCGGCAAAGTGCTTGTGCAACAGTCAGTCGCATGTCGCTACCCGGGCCTCAACAATGAAAATCTGATACTGAAAAAAAATTCACAGGTAAAAAGGAAACTTGCAAGGATCATTTCAAAACCCTGCCAGATGCATGACTCCATCGGAACTGGGCGAGAGGGAAAAAAAAAAAAAAAAAAGAACCGCGCGAAAGATGAGGCTATGATATGGCCGATATACTCACCTAGTACAAAAAGCTGGCGTATAGGAAACGCTGACCAATCACCCTCACGCTTCTCATGGCGCCGGCTCTGCAGAAATGCTGGTCGTTTGAACATTGTGTCTGTTGGTTTTGAAGTCGACTGACTCGTTGGGATCCTTCGCGAGTCAAGGGGGAGAAGAAAGAAAAGTCTTGCGCCTCAGCCTTGCGAGAAGAGAGCAAGCGAGCAAGCAAGCAAGCAAGTGGCCGGAATGTGTTACTGGTTTCAAATTTCGATGATAGAGAGCCGAGGAATGATCGTTATATCGAAAGGGAGCTTTTGTCAAGGGGCTTTCGGCATGTCTTCCCTTGTTCCAGGTCGATCTTGCAAAGGCACCTCAGAGTTTGTTTCTTTGGTGACCCAATTTCCCAGATGCTGTTTGGCCGAGAAATGCTAGACTCAATGACGACTGCAAGGGCAACACAGCCAGAGAAAACTTTATCCAATTGGGTTGGGAAATACTCCGATTTGGAAATGCGTCGACCTCACAGGGCCAGAGGTGGGTGATTAGGTTGTCAACACGTAGGGACAGGATAGTCAATTAAACCGCAGCAGCAGTAGAGTCGAGAGCTGAACGGTTGCAAAGGTGCTAAGTATGTGTGGTAGCAGGAGAGCGAGTATAAGAAGGATAGGAAGATCCGAGGAAGAAAGGGAGAGTATTTGAGTGGGAACTTGGAGGGCAATGTTCAGGAGGAAAAGTATGGGAGGAGAATTTCAAACAGGGACGGGAAGGAGGATTATTAAATGAAGCTCTAGGGAGCAGACGACAGTTAACGGTCGAGTGAACATCTCCATTCTCCATGGGAAGACGATGGAGCCCATTTTGGTTACAGCTGTACAAAGCCCAGGTTGCAGGATGCAGTCGGCAGCAAACAGTTGAGGAATATCAGGGATCCACATCTTGTCTCTCTCTCTGTCTGTTTTTCTGACCTAGTCTGATTGGACTTTTTTTTTTATTAAAATAATTATTATTTTGATTTCTTGGGACCGACGTTTTCAGATAGACTGGGTGGAGAGAGAGAACGAGAGATGGATGAATCGCGAAAACCCGACTGGCCATGCAGAAACCCACCCAGCAAATAATGGGGTACGACAGACGGGGAACAGGGAAAGAAAATAAAATAAAATAAATAAATAAAACATAATGGGTAAAATACGTTAAAAAGGAATAGACCTGAGGCTGGAGACAGGAAACGGAGCCTGAAAAGGGGTGGAGCCAATAGTGGTTGAGCAGAGGATAGAGGACGGACCAAGCATCCACGACGTCTATAGGTCATTTCATTGACTTCGTACCGGGTTGGGTCGGTTGGGTATACCCTTTGTGCCTTGACAATGAACTGACCTGACCGAGGAGTACGTACCTGAGAGCAGATACCTCCTGATATCGGTTGAAAGCAAGAGGCTACATACAGCTTACACAACAGGCGCAACAGAACCGGGAGGCGGGATCGTTGGGGCGAGAAGAGCAGCCCGATCAGTCGGATATTACGAAGGAGCAGGCTACGTGTAGATTCGATGTCAGGAATCCTCCAGGAGGTCAAATATAAAAAAAAAAAAAAAAAAGAAAAAAAAAATCATACGTGGGTGATCTGATTTCCTCCGAATGGAGGCAATGCGAAAGGATCATTTCAAGGCGAGTGAGAGGAATCCGGCTCAGATCAGAGATGCAACGAGTCACTGCAAATGGGGAGCCTGTCAGTGTCAGGTCACCTGGGATGAGTAAGAAAGGGAGCGAGGATGCGTAAAAAAAAACGAAGGGAGAGGGAGGAAACCAAATTACAGAGAGAGGAGCCGCGAATGGGAGGGCGAAGGGGAACTGGAGCCGCCGCCGCAGATTGACCGGTAGAACAGTGGACCCATCCTGGCCCTGAGTGCCGGCTCCGGGGAAGAGTCAAGGCCAGGATTGAGAAGTGCGCTAAGACGGGCTGTAAGGACGATCGGCTTTCCAGAAGTTTGGTTTTAGTGCGACTCCAGCGAGATGATAGATCTCACACCACCAGCCCACTTGGACCGCCGTTCCAAGGAAAAAAGGGACGCTCTTCCGCGTTCCGCCTCCCTTCTCCAGTTCCACAAGGGGCAGTCCTTGAAATGAAGAGTGTTCGACTATTTAGCTATGAGCCGTGCAAACGCAATTCATTATTACTATGCTTTTCCGGATTATTAGAGGTATCATCAAAAATTGGCTGTGGAAAGGGGACACAGCTCTTCCTTCCTCCACCCTGGATGCGCTTGTGACCTGAGGAATGACGGCAATTCCAAGGTTTTGCCCTCAAGCTGCAATTGGTGATTAATATTAGTAGCAAATAAAGACGGCGAGGAGGCAAAGGCGTTGTTCAGGAATCAGGAGAGAAAGGGGTGGGGGAAAAGGAAGATGCGGTGTATCGGTATGCGATACAGCTCGCACCATCGCCTCTGGTGGCCGTAAAAAAAAACGGGGACCAGAAATTCGGTAAGCTGGGTCAGGAGGAAACAAACGGGTGACGATCAGAAACAGGAGGAAGAGAAAGAAGGCGAGCAATTGGAATGGAGTGGGTCTGATACAGGCAGGAAGTGAGCAGTCGAGAGCTGTGCCCGTTTCACGTCCACCCCTACCGAGGCGGAGAGCGCCTGCGGTGAGGGCCAGAAAACGCACTAAACCTTCATGACGGGGCCATATTTCGTCACTTTGCCTCGAGTGGGCCGCAAACGGGCTGATCGGGGAGAAAGATTGATTGACGTCTAGCGTGCTGACCATGTCAAAAGGGGTAAGCAAAACTTGACGGGCACCGAAGTGCTCGTGAGTCGTGAGCTGTTCTTGACGCTCAATCAGATACGGATACTTGGGGGAACGGGAATACGGATACCCCCATTCCAATTGGCCTTTGCCCTGGTCCCTGGTCCGTCGTACAAAGTCGTAAGAGGAATACGGTACCTGGAAGATCCCAGCCTACCAGGATGCGGAGCAGACCGACCTCTCGACGCGAGGAGGCAAAGCAGTATTGCAGCATCGACAAGAGAACCAGCAGGGATGATTGGAATAATTATGCCAGCCCCTCTCCCTGTTCCTCAATTGCCATCGGACCGTGTAAGGTATTTTCAATATTGGAATGGTAAATTATGATCCCTGAAGATCCCATATCAGGCACCGATCACGGAAAAAGGTTGGAAATGCTTGACGTCATTTTTAGGACGGTTTTCGATACGTAGTTAGGCATAGGGCCCGTGACCCGACAGTCTACTTTGCCAGGTGGTTGTTGCATCGCCTTCATGTAAGTAGACCCGCGGCTGCCACGCTCTAATTGTTCTGACTTCTGAGCGACCAGGGCTAATGACTCACATGATTATAAAAAACACCCGTAAGTCGAGAAGGCGTGGAAAATTGTTCCAATGATGTTGCAACGGCACTAAATGTGACTACGTGCTATGGAGTACAGAGTAAGATCCATAGTATATGGGTCCTATAGTGCATCGCTTAGCGCAATCCAGATCTGGAGCCACGCGAGCCGAACGAGGTTGAAGAAGAAGAGGGGCAGAAGGAGGATCGAAGGATGAGCGCTGCAACTCAAGCCTGCAGGTGATCTCTTGATCATTACAGACAGCTCTCTTCGAGCGGAGCTCCCCCGAAGTCAGTATGCGTCTGATAGGCCCAACTGACCATTGGACCCGTCTGCCTCCCAACAGAACCCCAGAACGAAGGGGTGAGGTCGGAGACTAAACTGGCATGGGGAGTAATGGAAAGTGCCCTGATACTGGTCTATTTTGACGGGCATGGCATCAGAGAGGAAGCAAATTGCGGGAATGAATTGATGACCCTTGGCGGAACCATCTCCGATGTTGCAGAATAACTAAGTATTCTCGGCACTGTAGGCGCAGTGCTTCTATCGGGCAACAGAGGACTCGGGTTGCTGGGAATCTTGATTCTGTGGCGGGGAACCCTGCTCGAAACAACGGGCCTGCTCGCTATGCCTACAAAGAGCCATACGGCAATTTTCTCCTACCTTGGACGGCGAAGGCGAAACTATGACTGTTTCCCCAATAAAGGGCAATAATGAAGCAGTGTTGAGACCTCTAGGATTCGAACACGTTCGTTTCACTCTGCTGACGCACTGTGGATTAACAACGTGTGCATTGTATGCGTCTGGTGTTGACAGTCGGTGGACTCCCGATAAGTGCCGGAAGGTTCCTTGAAGGAGGCTGCGAACAGGGTGGCCCGCAGTATGATCCACGCCCACGAGACCGCTTAGCGGTGACAGGCGAAGGATGTTAGTAGCTTGACAGTGGACTTAAAATACAGCATTAATTACAACAATATTGGGGCGTCCCATCTCGAGATAGCAGTGTAGTCGTGTTCAACATGCAACCCAGTCGGAGAATGCGGGAGTGGACAAGGAGATGATGGAAGCGTCGCATAGATTTGCGCCGGTATGCATGGTTACCTGTCATGTGAGCATTGACCAACTCGTGCTCTATTTTATGGTTCGCTCCCTGTTGACGATCGAGTGTTTCAAGACGGGCAAGACGAACAGCGATTGGAACCTCGCCGGGGCGGTGCCGATAGAATATGCATATCGGGAGGTTGAGACGAGTCACTGCGAATGTCGGTATCAGGCGATGGATTGGCGAGTCGCTGCAGAGGAAACCCCGCCGGCCGCAAGCGGTGAGAACTGAGAAGCAAACGTTGGGTGCAGACTGCAGACAATAACTTCAGGGATGAGAATTGGCGAGATGACAACATTTGCCAGGATCCTGGCCGGTTTTCTACGGCCTGCATGTTCGGCGCGTGTTTATTTCGCTCCCACCCCAGCTCATAGGCCCGTCCGGGGTGCAAATCGTGCTGGTTTGGGCAGAAACACAATCAGCAGGCAGCTTGACATTTGTGCTTGCATGTCTCCAACCACAGTCTGCGTAACGATCAGGAGATGCCTGAGCCCATATCCTTGTCTGCCTTGCAGCAACCCGAAATCAAGAGAAATCAAATGTGCGGTGAGAGAGGGGTAATATGACTGCCCCTCATCGCTTCTCCGAGTCCTGGTTGTTGTTTATTATAGCATGCAAGGAAATCACTCGAGAGCTGCCACATATTATGATGTCCGTGCTTGGTTTTAGCGGGACAAGCAAACACGTATCCATTGTCGTATGAAGCACGGGTGAATGGAGGTGTTGTACGGATAGGAAGCAGCGGAAAGAGCCCCGGGAGTCTCCAGATTGAGAGGTCGGCCCCTCTGACAAACCTCCAATTCGAGAAAAATTCCGGATATCACTCATCGAGGGGACAAAGAATGGCAGGTCTACACCGTACGCTTGTTGGTTAGCACATGGAGATCCCGCGAACAAAACAGCCGAGTCTCTGGCGACTCTGTGCTGGTTTTGGCATCGCTTCATGACATCCGAGTTACTGGGGGGCCCGTTCCCTTTGTCCTAGCCCATACATAATGAGCCAACAGCTTTGTGGGTTTTGGAGAAATTTGTCCGATTCCCAAGTCCCAACTCTAGACAAAGCGCAAGCTCTTAGTGACGCAGCTCTCGAAGGTTCATGGATGAAGATCGCGTATCGAGTGGATCAAGGATCGCCTCTAATATGCAGCCCACAGCGCCGAACTGTCGGGTCAGAGTTGCGCCTCGCCTATCTCTAACAGAGGCTCTCGTACTGAAAGTAAAGCGACCATTTCGTATGAGGGCCTTGCTGGACACTTTGAAAATGCTATGGGATGGAATTGGAAAGAGAATAATCAACACTTGGCCGCCACAGCCGCACGCACTGACTCCGTATATTTCTTGTGAAAATTATGGCCTGAACTATTTCCGCTCTCGTCGAATAAGGAGTGCCGGAGCAGTTGTTTTGCCAGCGGGGCCAATTATTCTGGAAGCATTCGGTACCTTCGGGACAACTCCAGCTGAAAGGACCATGCAGGAATGCCCCTTTGGTCTGTAAAAAAGGTATTCACACCCCGAGTCTCGCTCCACCGGCTGAACCATGGTCCAGTGCACGATGGTGTCTGTTTCTGGTCCACACGGAGACGGGATCGTTCCCCGGACTCAAGAAGTTTCTTGATCGCCGACTGGAAAGTCGGGTGACAGCTCGGGGCCGTCACACAGTCACGCACCAAAAGGACCGCACGAGCGCGAAAAGTCCGCATCCACCGTACTTTCAGAAGGCAACCCAAGGGATGCACTCTGTCATACTCTTAATGCCGATAAGTTCGTACTTTGCGATCTCTTGAAAAGTTAATTTGGCTGTGACGACTGTGACAAGTGGAGGGGCTGACGGGTGGGGAGAAAATCTCCTAATTCCTCCTCTTTACTTTTTTTCTTCCGCGTGGGGACTGCAAATTCTCCTGCGATGAGAGCTTGGGCCGGCACCTTGCTCAATAATGTCGACTGTCGAGAATCGAGATGTCATCATTGCTGACTCGCGGCAACAGAGTCTCCGCCTGCCTCTGTGACGATTCGGCTGGTGGCAAACCTGGAGGGGAATGTGGAATGTAGAAGCTAGACAGCAATCCCGTAACTTGCGGAGCCCTCCCCGACCAGGCGCCGCCCCATCGGAATGCATGAGCCGGTGCCGCGGTGACGGATATCGCTGGCCAACCGTGGTTCAAGGCGCAGCTGCTTTGACTTTCTGTCACAGTTCAGCCAGCCCATCACAATCTTTCAACCCAGCCTGCTTGCATTTTCCATCCCCTGGATGCTTGCGCTAGCTGGTCCTTCGCAATCCCAGGTCTTTCATTGACCGGTTTGGGCCTAGATTGGGAGTGCTCATTCTTCGGTAGTGGTTCCCGGCTTTCCATGCCAGGAGCTAGAGAGCGACTATCTGTGCCTCTTCAGGTCATGTGAGGAGCTGCACGAGCATTCAATTCTTATTTGTCCGCGCCCGATCCTCTGGAAATTTCCATGCCGGCATTGGATTGGGAATTTGAGATCCCCGTTGGCCACCGAAGATCCCTGTCGACGTCAGACGCAACCGGCGACCGGCGTCTTTCAACAACACAGCACGTACTTCGGTCACAAGGTCGTACTTCTTCCCGGAGATCTCCGCTAAATTCCGGGCCTACGTTAGTTTCTTTTTCTGCTCGAGCCTTGGACATTATTTTTATTCTTTGTCTGGCGCGAACATCTGTCTTCTGTCGGTTCGTCACTGTCCCCTCTGGGCATGGGGCGCCCCGTCAAATCGATGAGGCGAGCAAGGATCTGACAAAACGGACAGTCATTTTCGAGTCAGTCTCATGCAATCGTTGCACCGAAATATTCATGCATGAGCAATCATCCGACATCATCCTCATCGAGACAAGAGGAGGGCTGCTCTGCTATTGGTATACGGTTATTTCAATGCGTCAAGTCGACTCCCCCTGATTGATTACCATTGTGCATTTGCCCGGGTTAAGATTACTCCTAGAGCCTTGTACACAGCCCAGCAGCCTTCCCGTACTTTGCCAGAAGCGGGAAGAGGGCATCGAGTCATCGTCCGTCGGAACCCAAATCAATTGTCGGTCAATTGACATGTGAAACTATGTATGAACGTGTCGACGTTGTATTGAATCAGCCAAGCCTGCCTTGGGTAACAAGTCCATGATATGATCGTCATAGCAGTTTTAGGGCCGCAGAAGAGTATGATCATCAAATTCCCAAGGTTGATTTTGGGCTGTGGATTGCGCCAACATGTATGCATGTACAAGGGTTGGATTGACTTCCGTCGGCACTTAAAAAGTACTCGAAAGTACTTGTACTTTGATGCACTAACAAGCATGATTCGCGCAAGGATACTGGGCAGGTGGATGGATCGATAGACGGTGAGACCTTGGAAGTGGCTTGTGGAGCCACGAGGCACCAGTTCGCAAATTCGCGCGAAGCCATCCTGACGAGGCTAGCACTAATCTCTGACATGCCTAGGGACGGGATAGAATTACGAACGGAACGTGTTGAGAGTTGACACCGCGATTGTTCCATGACACTCTGACGAGTGATGATTATGCTCTTTAATTTAACCCGGTTACCCGAGCCTGTCAACTGGTAATATGGAGAAGCCTGTCATGAAACGGTAAGCGTCAGAGCCAACATCTTGTTCGATGCATGTCATTGGGTCTACCAAACTTCGCTCGGAGGCAGGGCAGGTTTTAATTTGCCCTTGCTAGAGGTCCTGTCATCTGCTATGAGCTGGACCACGCTCTCCGACTCAGAACATGCCGTGCCAGAATGCTGGGAAAAGGCGTTGGATCTTGTATCCTGTCAAAAGAGCGAGCGTTACATCTCTACGCGCAATTAATTCAAGCTGAGACAGGGGACATGTTCTATCGCCCTGGTCCAGTCCCACACCCCTAAACAGTAAATGTGGATACTCCCATTCTGAGTTCTTTCGCACCGGGTAACACTAGATGTATATCTCTGTCGTACAACATATATTTGATAGAACCCGCGGGAATATGAGTTCCGATGGACCAACCAATTAATGTCTCATACATGAAAGTTGATGATTCTACTGATAGCGACATCCAAGCCAGAAGTTTGCAGAGGCAATTTGTCCTACTATAAGCTTCTCTTGTATCATACGATGTCGGTTAATGAAATCAACTGTAGCATAAAGGAGGACACATCCAGTGTTTGGCATCCTCGAGCACCGTTTCCATACCGCCCCATCGTCAAAAGGATATCCGTCAGGTGCTCAAAACCTACTGAGAGCCCAATCGGGCGAGGCAGGATGAGGTGAGACGAGGCGAGCAATCTGATAGCCCTCTTTGTCCAAGGCGTTGAAGCAAACTGCCGTGATGCTCGACGCAGCCCAGATAGTAATAGTGGCGCTGTCTAGTCTCACTCACCAACAAGATCTCGATATTGGCGACAGCTGCTTTAAATCGAGCGGACCCAGCTAGCACCGATAACGCGTCGTTGCATTGAATAGAATGAATGCAATCAGACTCCAGTTGTCAAGAAATTGTTACAACGTACCCACAACGCAGGTACATCGTCAACCCGACAGGTATGGAGTAAGGACTATGGAACATTTCGAGACTCCCCATCGACTCCATACACCGGAGACTTGTACCCACGCATAACTCATGTATCTGAGATCTCCAAACTTAAGGTCGGCCAGCAGAACTGGAACAAAAGTACCACCAGTACCTAAATTAACTCTGCCACTTTTCTTCGTCCATTCCCCTCCCCCAATTGGGGTTACTAAGTACTTCACGACCTTTTCCTTCGTCTACTAATTTTTCGGCTGGACTTTGAGTTTTTTGGCGTGCCCCTGCTCAGCGTTCCCGGTTTCGGTATTGGCGGCCAAGCGCAAACAGCCTGGGGAGAATGCATTATTGGCCGACGTTTTGATGATGGGAGGATCTTCCATCGGGGCCACGGAAAGATGTGCTGAGGTACCTGTTTTACAAGATACGTAGCTAGTACTAGTAGTGCTCAATATGAAATAAGTCATATTATCTGGACGCTGGCTGCTGCTGCTCCCAAGCCTAGGCCTGCATGACGGATCGATCGGAATCGCAGCGCTCGGAGTCAAAAAAATAAAATAAAATAAAATGAAAGTCAAAGTTTGCGGTCCCCAGAGTGTCGGATCGATTTGGGCGCGGTGGCTTCTGTCTAGTGAATTTTATTTCCCGCTGTGTCGATTTTCTATCGCGGAAATTCTGATATGTCTCATATTTCCGATCTACGAAGGCGCTGAGGTCGAGACCCGACAAATATCGCGCATTGGTGAAAAAAGTAGCCACAGCTGGAGCTCGGATTATGCTTTAAGTTTCAATGAATTGTTCCAGACCTTTCGTCGATGGAGTGTGAGGAAATTATTATTGTTATTATTTCCATCGCCCCTGTTCAATTGTAGTCAACTATTGCAGGTTGCCTCACTGATCTGTTGGCTCCAGGCCCCAGGAGCAGTAGAGCAGTGCATCTTACTTCTGTTGGAAAGTCCTGACAATCCTCGCCTTGTAGGCGTCGCATGACCATCACATTCGCTGATATCGACGGGTCGGAAATAAAATCAAGCAAAAATGGTGCTTTCCAGCCGCGCAGGTTCCCACTCGCCGCGACAGGCGTCCACAGAGTGGTGCTGTCAGGTCAAGGTGCATGTCTCTTGTCCTGCGCTAATCCATACACATCGAGCGGTGTCGCGAACAGCCCTCGCAACGCCGCCTCACAAAGATACGTATACGTACGTGAAGAATGAATCCCCAACCATAATCATGTATATACACCGCACACGGCAGATACATGGCGATGCTCCTCGTCGCATGACTCAACCGGGCGTGTCGGGCTGGTTCTACCGACTTTTCGCCGGCCGCGCGGAAAGAATGGCCACGATTCTGGACTGCATCGTGACGTAGACTAATATAATGAGGCGAAGCTTAGTCTGAAACGTCTGTTGGTTGGTATGGGATAGTGTCAGCACTAGAAGTTACAGCTCATGGCTGGCGCTGGCTCTGTCACCGAATGGGCGTGGCTGGGTGTCGCGATTGTGTTGGCTGGCGACGCCTTGGGTAGCAACAAATTGGAGCTCCAGTTCTCATACTAGCGGTGTAGATGAGCCTGGCTTGATTTGTTACATGGGCTTCAAGAAGTATGTGGTAGTGGTAGTGGATAGTATGGTGCACAAGAAACAAATAATCAGATAAACACTGTTATCATCACGTGGAGATACCACGATAAGATCACATGATTCCAAAAAGCCTGTGGTGCTTTGGGCGTCATAGAATCCACGCGACGGACAACCATTCGAAGAAAGATGAGAATTTCGGTTCTCAGCTTCCCGGTGTGTTTTAATTGAACTGTTGCGTGAATTCAGGTGCGACTCCAGGATGAGCGATACCTAGTGTCAGCTACTACAATGGCGACTCCACGAACGAGCCTCCGAAGCTTGACCAGCTTGTTCTCGCATCGAAGCTCTTGTTTCTGGTATACAGCGCAGAGGCCAGGCGTATTCAAAATTGGCGGCCGCCGTTATACTACGGATATCGAATCCAATGAACCCACAGACCAGGCCGCGGCCGACGAACCTCCTTCACACCTCAACCCATCTCCAGAAGACTATTCGCGGTTCATCTTTCAAGATAGATGTCGCTCAACGATCTACGCCGGCGCCGGAGGCCACGGCTGCGTCTCCTTTCAGCGGGAAAAGTACATTCCAGACGGACCTCCGAATGGAGGTGACGGCGGCAGCGGCGGAGGCGTCTACATACAGGCCATCGAAGGGATGACCAGTCTGCACAAGCTTGCTCGGGGAGGAATAGTTAAGGCAACCCGAGGAAAGAATGGCCAGGGAAAAAGTAAGGGCGGAAAACGCGGTGAAGATGTTCTCATACAGGTTCCTGTGGGCACGGTCGTGCGCGAGGTAGACCGACATGACCCCGTTGCTGCGGAAAAGCGACGGCAGAAACTGATGAAAAAGGCGTCAAATGACGAGGAATTGGAGGAACTTGGTATTACGCCCATTCGTCACGATCGCTGGGTCCTTTATCCTGGTGCGAATCCGTCGGATTTCCTGATGACAGTGTTCCCAAAGAATCCGCCGCGGAGGCAAAGCATTGCTGCGCTTGAGCCAGAAGCGCCTATATACCTTGATCTGTCGAGACATATGGATAAACCTATTTTGCTAGCGGCGGGTGGTGCTGGAGGCTTGGGAAACCCACATTGGGTTTCTCGTGACCATCCTCGACCCCGGTTTGCTTCACGTGGAGAAGGTGCTAAGCGTTTGGAATTGGAATTTGAATTGAAGCTGCTTGCAGACGTTGGATTGGTCGGCAAACCCAACGCTGGGAAGAGTACCTTGCTTCGCTCGTTGACGAATAGTCGGACTCGCATCGGAAACTGGGCCTTCACTACGCTTGAGCCCAACATCGGGACCGTGGTTATCGATAACGATAAAGGCCGGCCTTTGGTTGAACTCGAAGGGAAAGTCCCGCGGAAGAGGTTCACAATGGCCGACATCCCGGGGTTGATCAAGGATGCTCATTTGGACCGTGGCTTGGGCTTAGGGTTCTTGCGGCATATTGAACGAGCTGGGATCCTTGCGTTCGTGGTGGACCTTAGCGCTGGGGACCCCATTGAGGAGTTGCAAGAACTGTGGAATGAACTCGGAAAATATGAAGAGCTGCGCGAGATGGAGCCAGCCCACGGCGAGAGTGAGGACGATCTGACCTGGAATCCGCCCCGGCATGGCCTACCTGAACTACAAACTGAATATAAAACCGAACCGGCCCAGTCTAAAGATAGTCTTCCAGAGCTTCTGCTTCCGGCTATCCACACCAAACCATGGTTTGTTGTGGCTACGAAGTGCGATCTTCCCGAAACTCAAGAACGATTCAGGACACTTCAGGACTACCTCCGTGGAGTCGAACAGGGTAAACATGAACATCCAGGAGGGTATGAAAGTGGCTGGAGGGAGAAGATATTTGCAATTCCTGTGAGCGCTATGCGGGGGGAGAATGTCCAGCAGATTCCAAGGCTTGTGATGCAGCTTTTGGATTGAGGCCTCTGTATAATATTTATCTGTATATATAGTGTAAAATAAGCTCTATTTGTACTACAAGCGAGGAATAATTAAGCGTTTATTAAAGAACTATTAAGCTCCATGTCATGTTGTTTTGCCCTTGGTGGGCAGATTCTGGCACAAATCTGTGACACCAAACTTTTTTTCCGTCTTTCAACAAAACTTCACATTGGTAGTAAATGCGACCACCTACCTACTTTCACGCTACAGTGCGCAGTCCAAGATGACGGGGCAACACATATTTATCGCATTTCCCCCTCCTTGATTGTCCCTCAACCCCTCCTCTTTCTTCATATCATCCCACTTATCCATCCAGAGATGATGGTCCTCCAAAACGTCCTCGCCGCCACGCTCTCCGCAATAGTAAATCCCGCTTCGGACGACCCGATTATTCAGTGCTTTGACAAGGACCTTGACATCCTCCGTGATAATATATTCAACAACACAGACGAAACGCTTCAACTGTCCGACGCGCACCTACGTGTTTTCCCGTTTAAGAATGTCGAAACCTGCTGGCGAAGGCTCTACACCGACTCCAGCATTCTCAAAGCTTGTCTTAGCATCTGCGATAATCTCGGGCTCACAAACCAGCCAAGGGATAAATGCGGGAAGGACGGGCTTTTCTTCATTTCTCAGTTGATTGAGTCTCTCAATAAATGTACAGGCGATGGGCCTAGGGTCGACCCCAGCGCTGCCTGGCTCTCGCCAGTCATCCATCTTCTCGACAAAGCATTGATCATGACCGGCGCACCGCTTCGTGAGGACGCGGTGGAATCTCTTTTATCTGCTTTACAAGAAGCTACAAAGCCCCGTGTTCTTGATACCGATGATGAGCAGCCAGACTACTCATCCCGCGCTTCGAAAAGACGGAAGCTCTCCCCGTTCCTACCTCCCGATGCCGTCCCTGCGCCGACCCTTACACATCCAATTACTCGTGTTTCGGATCCAGGCTTTGACTACATGGAAGATCATATACAAGATGTTAGGACGCCCCTGGTCATTACAGATGCGGTGGAGCACTGGCCCGCGATGTCAACACGGCCATGGGTATCGCGCGATTACTGGCTTGATAGGACGTTTGGGGGCTGCAGACTAGTTCCCGTGGAAATTGGCAGGTCATATACCGATGAAGAATGGGGACAGCGGATCATGGAGTTCAAGAAGTTTATTGAGAAGTACATCTGGAGGGAACCGTCACCGTCGAACTGGCAGGATCAGGACCAAGATGATGACAGAGATCCCGACCAAACAGGGTATTTAGCGCAACATGATCTCCTTGGCCAGATCCCGGCTTTGCGGAACGATATCGCTATCCCTGACTTCTGCTATATTACCCCTCCAGCGCCGGACCCAGGGACACCGGTGTACCTGAAGAAACGTCAGGAACGGGAATCTGAGCGGCAGAAGAATATGGGCAGCCATCAGGCACACGGCGAAGCTGATGTTGAAGGAGGCTCGCCCCTTCCCCCCTGCGAACCAAGAGACCCGATCATAAATACCTGGATTGGCCCCTCTTGGACAATATCTCCTCTCCACCATGACCCATACCACAATATACTTGTGCAAGTAACAGGTTCTAAATACATCCGTCTCTACTCACCTCATACTCCCGCCTCCCAAATCCACCCTCGAGGCATGGAGCCCGTCACGTCTGAGAGAAGAGGTAGCAATTCTGGTCCGCCTGATTCAGACGGTGATGGCTCCACCACGCGGATGATTGATATGTCGAATACGTCCCAGGTTGACTTGGCTTCCATAGAACTCTCCCCCGCCGAGTCCGAGCAGTGGGAGGCTATGTGGCCTGGTTTCCAGCAGGCGGAGTATGTTGAGACGGTCCTGAAAGAGGGCGAGTCTCTGTATATTCCTGTGGGGTGGTGGCATTATGTCCGTGGACTAAAGGCAGGGATTAGTGTTAGTTTCTGGTGGTAGTTTCTTGGATGTTTATTCTGTCTACTCCTGCACATGTGAGTTCCTGGCAAAGAAATCATTGATTTCTGGCCGGAGCCTGCCGATATTGAATAAGCTTTAATGTACATTTAAATAAAACAAATTCCAAAAGGATAACAGCATCTTAATTCTCAACCTTCCGCACCAGCATTAAAGGCTTTCCGGCCTCAATGGAATCGCCCTGCTGAGCTAAGATTTTCTCGACAACGGCTCCCACGGCGAGTGATTCGGACCGCACCGCAATCTCAAGCTTCATCGCTTCGAGGATCACGACAACTTGATCCTTTTCTAACTTGTCGCCCTCTTTGACTTCGACTTTCCAGACGTTGGCGTTTAGCGGTGCCTCGATCGGGCTGATTTCTGGATCTATATTTTCATTTAGTATCCCGTATTTAATAGATATAAAACGAAGGGAAAGGACGAGTTGAACAAACCTCTTAGCAACGCATCAACTGTATCCATCGGAACGCCCCTCTCGGCCTTTTCCTTCGCCCATTTCTCCAACATCTCCTTCTCAAGCGCATCCATATCAGCTTGCGCTTTGCGCTGCCGCTCCCGGATAGTCTTTACTTCGTCCTTGGTCTCGCTGAGAAGTCGATTATGCTCGGCCATATCGAATTCAACCTCTTCCCATTCATACTCATACCGGCCACTCTGGAAGACCGCGAGTTGGCGTTCATATTCCTCCTCGCTAACTTGGTAAAATGTGATCTGGTCGAAGTCCTCAAAAAGCCAGGGCTTCTGGGGTGTATAGCCATGCTTTGAACCGAGGATGTCCACGCCCGGGATGGTCAGACCGGTCATTTGATACCCACCTGGCGAATCAACGGTGTAAATTGCAAGGCAGCTACCGCCCCATGAAACCTGGCCAGCGGGCGTGAAGACGCGGCTGGGGTTCATCTTGGGACAGTTCATGCGCTGGCGCGGGTCAACGGGGAGGGAAAGCGGGAGGGCCGTGAAAAAGCCAACCGCTATAACCATGAAGTTGGCAGTGAGGTATATGTTTTCGAATTCCTTGCGAGTGAATGCGTTGTTGCGCGCGACGAAGTCCATGTTGTCCGGCAAATACGCGGCGTAGGGCCGCTGTGTCTCCATGTACCGCTTTATAGCCTCGTTCTGGCGTTTGCTTTCGAAGGTGAGCGGCAGTTTGAAGAGGCGGCTTCGCATCTTTGCGCGGGTCAGGTCGCCAAGTTGGGTTTCGATGGTGCAGAGGTAGTTAATTAGGCTTTGTTGGGTGATCTTGGTGCCGTCATAGTAGAGCATTAGAGCTAAGAATGATGATTAGCTGCAAGCGTATTATGCCTCCGATAGTTCAGGCCTTACAATTTCCGCAGCCGACCATAGAGATCAATAATCCGTTTGAGAATGTGATCTCGCCCGTTGCTTCGGTTAACACCTTTTTCAGTGCGGTGACTCTGTAGCGGTGGTTTAGATCGAATGCGCCGGTGCCGTAATCAATCAATAGATAATCATCGCCGGCCTGAAATTAGTTAGTTGGTATTTCTGTCAAGTAGCATCTGCATCTCTTACCTGCCGATACGAAACGAGGGGTTGGTTTCCTTTCTCTGGAATCTGGTGAACAATGCCAGATCCTCGCGTGGATGCTGTCATAGCTGGAGGTAAAGAGGTGCTTAACGGAGCAATAGTACCAAAGTTGGCACCCTTTTGGCAGCATTCTACAATGCCAGCAATAAAACTTTCCAGATCATTGCGCTTCGACACGGCATCTTTCAAAGATGTGGCCCTGAATTTCAGAGTGTCTCCAGCTTTGACTTGGCCCAACTTCCACATATCCCCTTTCACAATCGTATGGCTGCTAACAAAGCCACCAAGGTCCGGCGCATCTTGCGGGAAGATTACTGGGTCGTCACCGGTCCAATTAAGAGACCCTAATGCGTATCCATACTCAATTAGATTGGAGGGGTGAGCACCACCTTCTCCTCCATCCGAACGGGCCCAGGTGGGTTTGGGTCCAAGAAGACGTATTCCACCTCTGGCAGCGTTATGGGAGATGGTCCATTCTGCGTCGTAAAGCATGTCAATGCTCTCGGGAGTAAAATATCCTTCATCGTATGGCCCCGGCATTGCCATTAGTTCCCAGCTGCTAGGATACTGTGGAATGAGCTGCTTGGGCAAAGACAACTCTTTATCCAATTTTGGGAGTTGGCTTGTAACAACGAGATAATCTCCGGACGTAAGTTGTCGGCCTTGGTAGCCACCAACACCGACCATTGGTGCAGTAGCCTTTGAACCGAACCACTCAGCAATGTTGAGGAACCCCCCAAAGACGGCTAGATAAGCTCTACAGCCATTTCCTGTGGTTTTACCGATCTTTAAGCGCTGGCCAGCCGATATCTTTACTCTTGACCACATAGGTACCGGAGCGTCGTCGAGCGTCGCATCAGTTGGTGCACCACATAGTGAAATGAATGCTGGTCCTAAGAATCGTAGTTCTGGTCCGCTCAGAGTGATTTCTAAGCCCTCAAGCCCGACAGGATTACCAACAAGTGCATTGGCAATTCGAAAAGCAACCGAATCCATTGGCCCAGAATGACAAAAGCCCTTTCCGATGGTCGGACGACCAGGCCAGTCTTGAATGAGCGTGTAAGCGCCACCGGAGACGACATCGATCGCCGATAGATTGTACTCGAAATTGTCCAAGAACCTAGTCAGCGTTGTCCCGGAGTTGAAATCCTTGTTTGCAAGGATCTCTGCCAGGAACCCTAAATTGGTTGGAGGTCCGCAAATCCTTGAACCGGTTAGGATCTCTTTCAATCCTTCAATGGCCTGGTGCCTCGTCGGTCCATGATACATGACCTTTGCAATAAGCGGATCTAGTCTCTGTAAGATACTACCCAGCCATGTATAGTGCTTGTACAGAGATACATACCATAGTTTGCGGACACCTTGATACCTCTGTAAACCCAGGTATCAATTCGAGAGCCCGGGATTTCCTTCCACTGTACGTCTTGTAATGTTCCGGGACACGGTGCAAAGTCCTTGACTGGGTTTTCTGCGTATACTCTAGCCTCAATAGCGGAGCCTTTTGGCGCAGCTACCGGAATATTTGAGAGGGACTCTGCCTCAAGTCCCTTTTTCCCCGACAGCTGAGCATTTGCTTGCTTCAGCATGAGCTCTACCAAATCAACGTCGTAGCATAACTCTGTGATTCCATGCTCAACCTGAAGGCGCGTATTCATCTCCAGGAAGAAAAACGCTCCTGATTCATCATCCACGAGATATTCGATAGTGCCGGCGGAACCGTAATGAATTGATTCTGCGAGACGGACAGCGGCGTCGCACAGACCTTTCCTGAGATCTGGATTCTTAGTGACGAAGGGACTCGGGCATTCCTCGATCACTTTCTGGTGTCTTCTCTGGATGGAACACTCCCTCTCGCCGATGGAGATAGCCTTACCATGACCGTTTCCAAAGACCTGGACTTCGATATGGTGGCTAGACGGGTAATAACGTTCGATAAAGAGCCCGGCGTTCTTAAACAGAGCTTCACCTCTAGATTGTACAGTTTGGAATGCTTCTCGGACCTCTTTCTCTGAGTTACATGTGAGAAGCCCCATTCCACCGCCACCTGCGGTTGCCTTGAGCATAACCTACTAGGAGTGAGCATGGTTTCATGTTGAGCAGACGTTTAAGGGGAAGTTACAGGAAAGCCCAGGTTTTGGGAAATGGTTACGGCTTCATCTTCGCTTGTAACCAGCCCCTGTGAACCGGGAACAATGGGGACACCCGCTTTTGTAGCCAGCTCCCGTGCAGTGTGCTTGAGCCCGAATGCTTCAATGCTCTCTGGGGATGGACCAACGAAGACCATGCCGGCGCTGGAGACGTCTCTTGCAAAATTGGAGTTCTCCGACAGGAACCCATATCCAGGTATGATAGCATCCGCGTGCTTTTTCTTTGCAATTTCAATAATCTGGTCTCTGCTCTCTCCCGTCAGAGTTTGGTTCAAGAAAGTGGTGTTATACCATACTAACCCATCAATATACGCCTTTGACGGCACGCCAGAGAGGAGAACCGCTTCGTCCGCTAAATGGACATGAGTTGAAGCAGCATCTGGCTCGGTATATATCGCAATAGTTCGGATATTAAGCTTCCTTTCAGAGCATTAGCACTAACTCCCGAGAAAGGGCTGTGTCTGTACCTTGAAGACTTCAGAATCCGCACAGCAATCTCTCCGCGGTTCGCAATTAGAAGTGTTTTGAGAGACTCCATAATTGGTATATTACGTAGGACCTAGCGAGCTCGAGCATCCTCTCAGGTTCCTACGTACTCCATACTTATAAGAGATCGGTCGTCATTCCTCTTGGGAGCCCCTCCTTGCTCGTATGCGTGCGGGGAAGAAGCTCCAACCTTCCTCCCATGAGGTTGGAAACTGAACATCGATAACGAAACCGGACAACTTGAACTGCCGTGATTGCACGATGACGCCGAAAATATTCGGAATTCGGCTCAACGGAGAGATCTACATGAGATGATAGGGACATCATCCCCGACTCCCCCACCCCGCCACAAGCTCTGAAGAATTCCCCATAGCTGTTTCCATGGTTCGGGAGGAGCCCAAGCTCTGATTATAAGTAACCAGACTGGGCCTTGCGACCGGACTAAAGGACGAACTTTAAGTGGAAGCTTCAACAATCATCATGGCTCCGATCAAGAAAAAAGCGCTAGTCAACTGCGATATGGGAGAAGCTGTATGTCCTCATCTACGTTAAATGGTTCTCCAGAATCGCCAGTACAACAGAAAGCTAACGCGATCGGTCAAAAGTACGGGAACTGGGCTTGCGGCCCAGATCTTGAGCTGCTTCCCTTGATCGACATCGCTAACATCGCCTGTGGTTTTCACGCTGGTGACCCTCTGATCATGTTGGAGACAGTACGGAACTGCAAATCTCACAACATTCTGGTGGGAGCGCATCCCGGTTTACCTGACATCCAAGGGTTCGGACGACGTGAAATGAAGCTCTCTCCGGATGAGCTCACAGCAATTACTATCTACCAAGTTGGTGCTCTCCAGGGTTTCTTGGATCGCGAAGGGGTCCGCCTCAATCATGTAAAACCGCACGGTGTTCTTTATGGAATGATGTGCAGGGATTATGAGGTATCCAAGGCTGTCATGCTAGGGATTCCTAAGGGAGTCCCTGTCTTTGGATTACCTGGAACAAACATGGAAAAGGCTGCCAATGACTTGGGGATCGAATTTCGGGCTGAGTTCTATGGCGATGTCAAATACGATTCTAAGGGAATGCTTGTGATTGATCGGAAGAAGAAGCCGTGGGATCCTGCAGATGTTGAGAAGCATGTTCGGCAACAACTTGAGGAGCAGTCTGTGACGAGCGTTGATGGGACTGTAGTCCCGCTCCCTATCAAGGACTATGATGTATCCATCTGTTGTCACTCAGATTCGCCAGGGTGTGTTGAAATCATCAAAGCAACGAAGAAGGTGGCGGACGAGTTTAATAAGAAGTATGGATTTTGAGCGGATGTGTACATATTTCCAGGTACAAATCGGAATCTTCAGTATTCAAACCTTCGCAGGCCAGAATAAGGGTGATGTTGGGAAATAGGGTCGAATTTTTTGGTGCACATTTCTGTCCGCTGACTTCCCTTGGGAATCAACCCATCCACACTGCAAGTGTCACTGATAAGAACGGAGTAAATGTATCCCTCATGGACCACGAAATGGAAAGTTGTATGTTCTCCCGATGTAAAGGTTCGCGAAAGTAAGCGTGCTTTTCTCATCTCGTATTCTAACATGAAGTGATGAATGGCGGAGAATAGTAAGCCCTCATCGTTGGACAGTCAGGCAGAGCATCACTGGATATACGGTCAAAATATCTGGGGAAGACTGAGAATAATAAGCACTAGTAATAACGAGACAGCCTCAGTAGCGCCGTTTTCTCCGTCATCCAAGGCTCTCCAACATTTCTCGCGCGGAAGAGGGTGCATGAAGTATGATACACAATTCAACCGACCTGAAGGGAGCTAGACTGTGTTAGGGATAACTGTAGCGAGCAGATGTCGCCATCGTCGTATTCAACGTGAGTCTATGGTTAGTAGTGCTGCCATCGAGCACAGCCCAAGTGATCAACGCTTCGACGTCAGGCGAATCTGTCGGTCTGTAATGAAGGGCGAGCATGACGAGTATTAATAGGGTAATTGCGAGGCTGGCCCTTATTTGAAACAAGACTTGGTAGCTTGATAACTCTTCGCCGGGACTGGGGAGGAGGAGAAGGACTCCGATATCGTTTGGAAATGATTCATTGGGCTGAGGGGCTAACCCGGATAGGAATGGCGCTGTCAAAGGAAGGGCGTGCAGTTCTGTTAGTGCCGAACATGCTCCCCTCCACGACCACCAGCGAGCCTCCATCGCGCCTATCCATGGGCCAAGTCCGAGCAGGGGGGTCTCATTTCTCGCAATCTGATGGGCTGAACCCTTCATTCTGGCCCCAAGGGAGCACAAGATGACTCTGACCTCTCGGTCAAAGCCGCAGCAGACCACATGAGCGACTCTGGCCTTCTGCACAGACAGAGGAAGTCCGACCGAAAGATACGGGCGAAGACGCGCTGGGATCCTCTGATCCTGGAAGCTGGTAGAAAGACAACGCTAGCAGGGCCCAGTCTTTCCACCTTATCCGGCATGCTTTTCATACCCCAGACGAAAAACATGGCCCTCTTTTGATATCCACCCCTCCCATCCTCTGTCTCCCATCCATCTGTCTACATTCCATTTCTCTATTCCCTTCTGCTACCCAGTCTCCAGCTATCTTAACTCGCTGTTCTGTTTGGTCGAAACCACCTCAGTCGCCTCGACTTTTGTGGTGTACGCCAAAGTCTTTACTAGGTTCTCTTGGAGATGGAGTTCTTCGATTTTGATGAGGCTGCATCCGGTTCCCACGCTCGGGACGACGATGTTGCCTCTGACACAATCGAAATCGATGAGAACGATGCCGAAGAAAATTATCAGGATCTTGTGAAAGAACAGTCGCATGAATTACCAAATTTCCTCCCGGACCAAAATGCCTCCCAGGGATTCATGGCTGATACTCCTGACCCAGAGGGCATCTATCCCATGGGCCGTGCCAAAGAACCATGCGATTTCTGCAGGAACATGGGGCTAGATTGCTTCATCGCCAGACGTGGTGTGATGCAGAAAACTGGTGGTTGCACTTGCTGCATTTCTCTGTATCGGGAATGTAGCTTCACCCAGACAATGCCCAAATTCCCGGGATTGGACACACTGCATCCAATTTCGGAGAACATCGATATTCCCACCGGTGGCCTGACGGGCAAAAAGGCGCTCAAGTCGTTTTCTGGCCTATCTGAAGACATGGACGCCCGCGCAAGAAAAAGCACCTCCCGACTCTCGCGAGAGTCGGTCCGGATCCTCAAGGGTTGGCTCAACGAGCACAGTGACCACCCTTACCCCAACGAAGAAGAAAAGGAGGAATTGAAGCTACGGACAGGACTGAAACGGACTCAGATCACGAATTGGCTTGCCAATGCCAGGCGGCGTGGTAAAGTCCGACCTGCGCCTCGAAGCAGTTCGCCTGTCCCGGGCGCGATTGAAATCCCCAAACAGCCAGATGTTGATCACACGCTCCTGACTCCGTTGGAACGTTGGAAGTACTCCCCCCCTGAAAACGAACCGGCTGCAATCTCCAACATTTTGCGAGCTTTGAAGGACACATCCCTCGAAGTACGTCAGGGGGCACAGTCCGGTCACGTGCGCTCTCATTCTCGGAGGACTGGGTCAAGCAATGACTCAAGCCATACCAACTCGAATGTCTTCGACGCATCCTCCCTAGTTAGCAGCCATGAAACTAGTCATTCAGCAAGCCGTTCTTCTTTGTCTGACCTCTCTTTTGCTTCTGCATTTTCTCATCGTTCCTCCCTCGGCTCATTCGGCTCAATGGACCGGAAAGAACGACGTCGCCGTCGCAAGCCATCTACATCTGCAAATACCTTTGCTCAGCAGAAGACCAAGGGTGCTGCCCGAATATACCAGTGCACTTTCTGTGCCGACTCTTTTCAGACCAAGTATGACTGGCAGCGCCATGAGAAGTCCCTTCACTTAGCCCTTGAGAAATGGACTTGCGCGCCACAGGGGGGCGTGGCCTTCTTGAATGGTGCTAATCGTTGTGTATTCTGCATGGCTGTCAACCCAGATAATGACCATCTTGAGGCCCACAACTATAGTACCTGTGCAGAGAAGTCTTCAGCTGAGCGAACGTTCTATCGGAAAGACCATCTCAACCAACATCTCCGATTGATGCATAACGTGCGCTTCGATCCTTCCATGGATCAATGGCGAAGTCATACCACTGAGATTATATCCCGATGTGGTTTCTGTGGAATCACCTTGACGACGTGGAAGGGTAGAGCAGATCACCTCGCTACCCACTTCAAGAATGGTGCCGACATGGTTCAATGGCAGGGTGACTGGGGTTTCGAACCCGTTGTGCAAAGCCTTGTCGAGAATGCTATGCCGCCATATCTTATTGGTCATGAACGCAACACCCTTGATCCGTTTAAGCTCTCGGAATACAATACTGGGGCGCCTGGTTTGCCGATTGCAGAGGACGCCAATTGTTTTGATCGCCTAAAAGCGGAGCTCGGCGTCTTTATTCAAGAGAGCATATCAAATGGCGTCATGCCAACCGACAAGATGATTCAAGATCAAGGGCGACAAGTAGTATACGGATCTGATGATCCATGGAACCAGACCTGTGCTGATAACCCCTTCTGGTTGAATATTCTTAAACGCGATAATGGCCTTGAGCCTGCCCCGGGTTTTGAACATGTTCAATTTTCCAACTTGGGTATGCAGAGACCCTTTGCATCTCACGAGGGGCTTCGGCGACCCCCGATGTGCGCTCGTCAGTCACACGGGCCAGGATATTCCAGCTCTGGCATCCAGAGTCCCGCTATCCCGAGCACGGGTCGATCCTCTGCCGCCCCAAGCGTTCCAGGAAGCTCGGCTGGCAGTTTTTCAGGTAGTGCAGGTGTGTACTCGGCCACACGACCTTCCGGGTTATCGGTCGACTGGGGCAGTAGCGCGTCAGCCGGGGTATCGTCTTTCTCGACACCGCTGAGCACGTCTGTCGACCCATTTGTGCAGATGGGCTTTGACCCTGAGTTCCTGCAACATTTAAACACTCGTTACGATGAGGAGCTGCCATTGGATAGCTTACAAGACATGACTTTCGACGCCGACGGTGGCGGCGTAGGAGGCCTCGACAACATTGAACATATGGACACAACGAGAGTAACTAGTGGCCCAACTGCTCCGATCCCGATCCCCACGTCGAAACAACCCGATACGGCGATGCCTGATGCGGTTCCTATCCCTGATCTTCACTTTGGCGCCGCGGATAGAACTGGACTGTGAACGGAGTACTGTGTTCAGGAATAGTAAAAGGATTCCAAATTGTAGATAAAAATTATGGAGTTTAGCTGTATTCACTTCTTCTCATTTTCATTTTTGCTTCTTTTCGCCTTCTGCTCCTGTGTTTAAGGACGGGTGTTTTATTTATAAACGCTCCTCTTGCCAATACCCTTGGCTATCGAAGGGCGTAGAGTACGTAAAACGCCTCCGACATAGACGCTCCGATTGGCCACATGAAGACGAAGGGCGCAGGCATGACATTTTATCAGACCCGTGAACAACTGGAAAATGATTCCTTTGCCTCTTCGAGACCCCGAACGTAATCCGGGTGTCTATCCTGATTCTTCGCCCCTCCTCGGAGCCAGCCAGACAACGGCCCACCGAGTCCTGACATGTGAAATGCAGGCCAAGCCTTTGCCGCAACGGTTTTTTCTTCCCCAACAGCTTTGGAACCAGATTCTAGACTCTACATCTCCTATCTATAGGAAACCGTTCTTATGATTGTACTATTCGCCATAGCGGGGTGAATCCCGCCCACCACCCTCGGAAAACAGCAGGCTTATCAGCGTCAGCCAGTTTCCCTCCACACCACCTCTTAAAGTTCGGCCTCAATCTTATCTCCAAGACCGAGAGTCTGCTGGCCGAAACCTTTACCTGTACTTTCTATCTCCAGATCCTCAGAGTGGCCTTTTTTCTGGAATTCATCGCCGGATCAGTCCAAATGGATGACACTTCCGGGTGCCCGCCTACATCCTCTTTCTTCCCACCGTTCATCCCCACAGTGATCAAACGGCGTTTCACGTCTTCACGATACGCAATGGTTAGGACAGAAACGAGCAGCGCCCTGCCACCTCGAACAATGCCATTCAACACGGGGGATAGCACGCCACGCCCTTCATCCTCAGGGAGCACAAGTACAGCGCGAAATTCCGATGATTCCTTCGGCTCCGAGGACACCGGAATCAATAGGGATGTCCTGGCAATAGGAGTGCCGGTGAACCACGAAGTGGGCTCTGGGCTACGGTGGAATAGGGTGAATCCCGGTAAATACTGCTACCCTATTCCCTGAACTAATCAACAGCTAGCTCAATAGGCAGCAAATGGTTCGAATCACCAACTAAATCATGAATTTATATTTGCAACAGCGCTCAACCTCCTCCGTCATGCCGGGTACGAGGCTCAGCAGCAACAATGCGAGAGCCGTTTAGTTCGCTCGCTTTACCTCAACTCCATGGCCTACCTGCTCTCTGCACTCCCTGAGGACCTAACTAGTGAGGAAGCGGAAACGCTTCGGGATAGTTTACCTGAGAAGCTTAAGCCGTCACTGATTCCGGTGTCCTCGCCCCATTCGGACTCGCCCCCCTATCCCGCACAACGCTCCTATATCCATCGATCGCTGGCTACGGGCATCGTCTATTTCTGTCTGCTACTTCAGTTTCTTATGCCGTATATCAAGGAGGTCATGTTTCACATGTATGAGTATGACCGAACTCACAGGGTTAGAGAGCGCGTGACGTCTCTTACTTTGTACCTCGCTGAGATGGTTGGCCGCGGCGGCGTGAATTTGGGCTCCACAGTTTTGGATATGTATGATGGTAAACCGGGCGATGTGGTTTCTGGGACTGCATCATGGTGGTTGGAAGGGGTGGCCGGTGGGATATATGAAGGCGTTGGGGAGGGTATGGTGATTCTCGGATTTTCTGAGTTGGACAAGGAGAATAGAATATAGAGGCTAAACATATATACTGGAGTTAATGATGATTTCTAGAATTTGAAAAACAAAAAAAAAAAAAATTCTCGGTACAGTTTTCTTTTGAGTGGCATCGTTAGACCTCTACTATATATATATTTATTCTTTTATTGGCGATATCTCCGTGTTAAGTTTGGGTTTTCGTTACCGATGAGAATAAACAATAGAATAGCATCATGGTGACTTGACAGTTTACTAGACCACAAATAATACAAATAATATTTCATGCACTCTGTAAACATGAGGATGCTGTCCACCGTAAACCATGTTCCAACGAAGAGTGGAAAAGCGTTGCCGCTTATCGGCCGGTCAAGCCCCACCACACCCAAGCTGCGGATCTCGTGGAGGCTGGAGCTTCTCCGAATTGTCTCCTGAGATCAACATCAACACCTCCAGACTTCGTCACACTCTGCGTCCAGTCAATCCTCTACCCTCGATTGGCGCCATGTCAACGACCCGATTGCCCAAAATCCCCTCTCTTCGGAGATATCAGCTGCTTCAGGAACAGTGAGCCCACCAACTGCCCTGGAGAAACCCCACACACATTCATGCTAATCGTTACCCCAGTGCAAGCCTCAAGCATGCAGCTCCCCCTGGAGTCTATGTGAGCCTCAATCCTAGTGATCCGTCGCTCTGGGCCTGCGTAATCTTTGTTCGATCGGGTATGCCGCAGTTTCTGTCAACTACAAACTAGATTGATGAATTAATCGCACTCATCCTCAGGCCCCTATGCTTCTGCGATCCTCCGATTCCAGATACGGTTCCCTCCGTCCTATCCTGATCGCCCACCACTAGTGACCTTTTCTACTGATGTATTTCACCCGCTCATTGTACCACTTACAACCTACACCTTCAGCACTGGTGTATCGAATGAAGACCCTGTCAGCGCAACGGACGAGGAGCGGTTACCGCCCGGAGGATTCAGCCTTCGACATGGGTTTCCCCATTGGTTCGGGCGTGCAAGACGTGGTGATGCTGATTCAGCCGCATCGTCGAGGGCCGTAAGTCTGAATGGTTCAAATAAAGGGGACACAGAGACACCAGCCCCTGATGGTTCTGCCCAGGAGGGCGCAGAGTCAAACCCGCATGAAGGCGACGAGGGCGAGACCGTCAATACTGCACCGCCGAGTGCCCTCACGAGGATGAGGACATCGATCCCGGTTTTGGAAATCCTGGATTACATTCGCACTTCCTTTGATGATGAGACTGTTCTCGATGCCGTGCCGTTAGAAGCAGCGGGCAACCCTAGTGCATGGCATGCATGGAAGGCTCACCGGAAGGATATCGACGGTACTAATGAAAAGAGAAGCTCAAAATGCGACAACCCACAAGCACGACTTCCGGGTGACTGGCACTGGGATGGAATCTGGACCAGACGCGTGCAGTATGAAATTGAAGCGAGTCGGTCAGATCCTACTTTGTTCGGAAACTCTGTCCGGGGCCCTGATGAAATGGTAACTTTATTGATCGTAACCTAGGCTCCAGAATTTGGCTAATGTGGAATGCAGATCCGATTTAGCAGATTAGATGGCGATGCCCTGGCCTCGATCAAGCAAATGGTTATCCCACCCTTGGAGCAGAGTTCAGAATAAGATTCACATACCCAACACCACAGCCAGGCGGAAGTCCCAAGGCCTCTAGCTCCTTCCTTGCGGGAGGGAAGATGAAGAAGCAGCTTCCGGGACTCGAGTAGATTCATTGCCTTGCGCGGAAAGTACGACCGGTGACACTGGAGCTAACAACAAGCTGGTTACACACACGTCTCCCTCCACGGTCTCGTACTCCTATCACTAAACCGCATCCGACTACCTACTCCATTCCTATTGTGTTCTTACATGGTAATATTGGATTCAACTGCATAGGTATCGTCATGAACTCTAAACATACGACGGCGATTATCGTCATTGCGCTAGTCCTGATTCCGATTGTCCTCCTCTGCTGTGCATTTGCCTTGGCCTTGGGCTGCGCCGAGTTCTGGAGCTCCGGCCGCTTCACTCTCATCAAGCCCTGGTGCAGACGAAAGCTGTCTGGCGTGCGAAGGGTACTCAAACCAATCAGACCCGTCGATCCTGCCGCCATCAGACACAACATTAGCTCGAATGTACAACCCACAACGGCAATGGCGGAGGTCTGATCGGAGATTCCTCTCTGACTGCTCCATTGAAAGCTACAGAGACTCGGTGTGTAATAAGAAACTATGTCCGAATGCTTGCGTATCCTGATTCGTCTGGCATACAGTTGGTGACATCCCTTCCGCGGGTCGCTTCACGGGTATCGGTTTTCCCTTTGCTTCGACTGCTATCTGGTCAACAATTTCGAGTTACAACGCCAAACCTTTGCTGAAGCTTTGCTGGACGGACACTTATCATTTGTTGGAGTTATGGGCGCAGTATGTATGGTATTCAGCCCCTCGGCATTTTATGAAAGCATAGCGCTAAAAAATCCGTAGAAACATACCCTCAACAGCGATTACACTTGTTTCGAATAATAAATTCAGGAGGATAACCATTATTAGGCCACGCATTACACGTTTCACTTTGGTAATGATTGGATGGACAGCTCACGTTTGGTCCACACTTTATTCAGCAGCTAGTACATTGAACAAAGATCGGATCAAGTTCGTTGACACAATGACTCTGACAACACGGTTTCCATTAAGCATGCGTCTACCATTGCTATGGATTGTGGCCTACTGCATTTGTGGCTAGGCCGCAGAGGGCTACTCGTGTATATAGCTAAGCCAGCATCCAATGCCAGTCTATTTGGAGAGCTTGTTACAAAAGTTCGCTTTCTTTTCAGTCGGCGAAATTAATTAGATTTGGGGCATTCGCATCCTCTTCATTAGTTTGAGGCTTTTTCCAAAGTGGCTCGCCGTCATCGTCAAACTCAGCCCATTGGAAAAAGCCACAGCCTTGCTTCCCCGGCTTCGATCCCATATAACATAACCACATGTAACGTCCTCTGGTGTCACGTTTACGTTGGACGCATTTAAGGACTGCATGTGCGTTGCAGCGACAACGCGGGATGTTTCGCGGATGTAATGAATCCCGATACCACCGGTAAGTGATATTGATCCGCCGATTACCTGATAAAGGATGCGGGGAAATAGTCTGCGCAGGAGCAATTGAATGCTTCCATTCCTCTTGTGTCTCCGCATGCATGACCAAAAGAGAATTATGCGGCAATGCTATGGATATCTGCCCCTGAGAGTCAGCCCGTGTCCGCGCGGATTTCTCTCCTGCCGCCTCATCTTCATCTGGGGCTATCCGCCGCACACGAAATTCCCGTTGAACACCTAGGCTTATACTCCCAATGACCGCGCGGGGCCCTAAGTAGGTAAGGTGATCAGTGTGGTATCCGACGCTTTCTGCGGGTCCATTGTAGCAATTGACAAAGGCAGCGTTGGGCATCCATTCCCGCGGCGACTGGTACTTGAGTTTCTTGCCGTCCGGGTAGACGTCCCGAATCCGCTTCTGGATTTCTTCGTTGACGGCGTTCTGGACGCGTGCAGAGATCGCGCGCAGGTGCGGGGTTGCCTGGCGGATATTCGTATGGTACGTGCCTCCGTATGTGTAGTCGTTGGTGTGCTGAGCTTCCTGCTCTGGCGTGGAGACGTAGACGCACGTAGAGTGTGGGCTTTCAACAGTTCTGTCGAAGATTTGCAGCTTATACCGGGAGAAGTGCTGAGACTCGTCCAGAAGTTCAAGTAGAAGCGCATTTGCTTGCTCTGGTGGGAGGAAGTTGTGGATAATCGTGCAGGATGTATGCGCTGCGACGTCCTCCGGGCTGAACAGGTACAGCGTCTTCCCCTTCTGGACTACTGGGTTTCGCTTTCGTTGCGATAGAACGCCTCCTCCGCTTTCATCTTTGCTTGGGGATACGTGTATATGCGATGTAAGGGACGTCTGGGTTCCTGGTGCGCCACCAGTTGGTCGAGGCCGTTTGGAGAGTTGCCGGAGTTGGTTCTGCTCTGTGATTGTAGTTATTGCAGTTTCCACTGAACCGCTGCAAGAAACGAGGATATCAATAAGAGCATCCTGGGGTGTTTCTGGAAACAGGGATACTAGTTGGGCTAACTTGATGTCTGTGGAAGCGTCATCGTCGTCTGGTGTCAGCGGCGGAGGACTGTGTGGTCGTTTGCGCGATAGATAGCGGTCCATAGGGAGGGGACTCCCCAAGTGGCATAATCAGTGAGTCAAAACTGACGAGGAGACTAAGCTGGTCATGCTCGGAGGGATAAAAACGACGTGTTGAGGGTGTTCGTGTTTTTCGAGGCCATCGAGATTCACGTGATTGCTCTGGATATGGCCAGTCACAGCTCAGGTTGATTCTATATTGATGACAGCCTCGACGATCTGCAGAGCTTGACCGAGATATCGAAACGATGGACGAGCTGATGTCAAATGAAGTGTGAAATAAGTGGACGACGATCGGAGCCAGAAACGAACCTCGGCTCGTGCCAATCAATCTCCCCGCAATTCTTCCTGACACTCGCATTCCTTCTCATTGCTCCTGCAGCCTCCAACCTCAACCAAGCAACGCCTCTGAGACCTCCCTCGACATGTTACACTTCCGCACCGAAGGATACAACGGTTATGCGGTCAAATACTCCCCGTTTTTCGACAACCGACTGGCAGTAGCGTCATCGGCCAACTTCGGCCTAGTCGGCAATGGACGTTTGTTCATTCTTGAATTGACCCCCCAGGGCATCGTGCCTGCTAAATGGTATTTAGTTCCTCCCGCTGTACGAATCGAGAGTTCATTTTATTTGAAAGCTAATGATCTGCAGGTTCACTACTCAAGATTCCCTCTATGACCTCGCCTGGTCCGAAGCCAACGAACACCAAGTCCTAACCGCCTCTGGAGACGGCAGTATCAAGCTCTTTGATTGCACACTCAATGATTTCCCCATCCAGGGTTGGAAAGAACACAATCGTGAAGTCTTTAGCGTCAGCTGGAACCTGGTTTCGAAGGACACCTTCTGCTCAAGCAGCTGGGATGGCACAGTTCGCATTTGGTCTCCGCATCGCCCGCATTCCCTCATGACCCTTCCCACCCACAGCTGTACCTACTCTGCCGACTTCACGCCACACTCTCCAGACATTCTCTCCTGCGTCGCTTCAGATTCATATCTCCGCATATACGATCTCCGTACACCGGCTTCGGCCTCAAATCACCTCACCCTCCAGATCCCAATCCACGCAGCTCCTGTTTCTCCGATACCGGGCAAACCGGGTGCCCCGCCGGCTGCATGCCCACCTTCTGAAGCACTCACACACGACTGGAACAAGTATCGGCCATCGGTAGTTGCTGTCGCAGGCGTTGACCGCACAATACGCACATTTGACATTCGCGCTCCGCAACAAGGGCCACAGACTGTGATGATCGGTCACGACTATGCCGTTCGCCGGGTTGCATGGTCACCACACCTCTCAAATATCCTGCTCAGTGCTAGCTACGATATGACATGTCGTGCTTGGAGCGACCAGTCCCCCGCCGGCGTAATCGGAGATACAGACCTTATGCGGTCTGGGCCTACGCCGATCATGGGTGCCGAGCTTGGCCGAATGAACCAGCATACCGAGTTTGCGACGGGCGTCGATTGGTGTCTTTTCGGAAGCGAGGGGTGGTGCGCGAGCGTTGGGTGGGATGAGAGCGTGTATGTATGGGACGTTCGAGCTGTGATGGGATAGAATACGGCGTTTACCCTTTTCAATCTTCATTCCTCTTTTATTCACTGGATTCTTCTCTGTATTGGATATTAGATCGCATGACACATGATACCTTTTTTTATTTTCTCTTACTTTTGGCTCACTATTTTTCTTTTTTATCACTTTCTTCCATGTTCATTTTTGGACTTAAGGAATAGGAATGCCCCATCCAGTGACCAGTCTATCTATGTATAACAGTTCCCCCTCCCTTTTAAGCATCAACCATTGCTATCATCCCCCCTAGCCAAAAATCACGGGTATAAAACACAAAAGAAATGAAGACGAAGGTAGAGATATCTACTTCGTAAGCCGCGTCTCAACCTTCTTCCTCTCGGCATCCTTCACAGCCGCAATCTCCTCTCTCGACGCGTCAAACGCAACATGAACCTGGTTAAACGGATTCTCATCACTCTTCTCAAACTCCTTCTTGACAAGCTCAATCCGCTGGTTCCGTCTAAGCCCGGGGTTCTCCTCCTCAATCTCCGGCAGCCGCCGCGCTTCAAATGCCGCATACGCAGCCTTGAATCGGCGCTCGGGGTGGCGGTCGATCTTGCCGGTGTCCCGGCCCGTCAAGGAGAGTGCATCGAGGGCGTTGTCGATACCAGACGCGTTCAGAGCCGACTTGGTACTGGGCCCCTTGTCATCGAGCTGGGATAGGTCCAGGGTTCCCTTGGACGGAGCGGCATTCTTCTTTCCGGCAGACTTGGTGTTCTTGGGCTTGGAGGGTTGGGATGCTTCTTCTTCGGCCAGGAGCGCATCGCGCTCGGCCTTCTTGCGGGCGGCTTCGGCTTTCTTGGCTTCGGCGTCGTCTCTGTTTCGGGTAGGTTAGCTACTCCTTTCGCTTGTCTATTTTTGTTCTATGTTCGTTTGGAGTGGACATGTGCTAAGAAAGGGAGTTTAGAAGAAAGGATGGCTCGTACTTCTTGGTTGAACCCTTCGCGCCCTTAGCCCACTGCTTGTCTTCTTCAGCGGCGCGCTTTTGATCCTCAACGGCTTTTTTGCTGGCTGCAGCTTCGGCTTTCTATCCTCATGAGGAAATTAAAGTAATGATTAGCCTCAGTTGATAACAGATGTGGGCTTGCACATTCGAATTAAGGTGGGAGGGGAGGCGGAGGCGGTACTCACGCGAGCGTTTCCAGCAGCCTTCTTGGAGTTCTCACCAGCAGCCTTTTTGCCTCCCATTGTGGATTATTTTTATTCGGGGTTTCTGGTAAGTGGTGTGTGCGAACAACGTTCACGAGTGAGATGTAAGTGACGGCTGACTTCGGGTTTGAGGGTGAGGGGCAATTTGAGTCAGAGCTCTGTACAGTTCGCTTTAATTTATCAGATGGCGGGGTGGCAATGACTAAGCAGATGTATAACGAGCTTCACTATGCTTGGCGTGTGGCCACAAGAGCCTCCAGTATTTATATGTTTAAGATAAATACTCTATATGATTCGTGCATTTTATCCAAGAAGATAAGTCCACATTTGGTCGGAACGGGCAAGATCTGGCAGGCAAACCTCATGGCTGGTGGCCCATGAAATAGCACTCCAAACACGAAGGCAGGCTTAAGAATGGGATACCTAGGCAATTAGGAAGCTGAGGATGACCCTTATGTATCTATTCTAACCAGGTTTCAGGAGGTCCCTTGGTTGATATTGAATCGTACAGACTAAGATAGACAAGCGTGCGCGGTCACTCGGCATACGGTAATCGACCGAACACGACATCTATCTACCAAGTGTTCTTACAGTACGTTCTCGAAGTTCGGGGAGACACTGAGATGCGGCAGTTCAATTTAATACACCAATTCTAAACATAGATTCAATAAGGCTAATGCTAAAGGTAACATAACGGCTAACAAGCAAGGTCCACAGAAATCCAAAGGCCAAGTCCAAAATCTTCTCATATCGTTCGTAAATAGCGACGTAGCTCGGTCACGTATCGTATATTTCGTTCGCTTCATTCTGTTCATTCTGCTAATTCGACGCGCTTGGTTCATGTTGCTCGAGTTGTTCATTGTGCTGGGTTTCATCGATCTGCTCGTGCTGATTGTGTTGTTCGTCAAGGGGCAATGGCAGGTCATTGATGCTATCATCCACTGAAACAGTCGAACTTTGGGCTTCCTCCGAGAACGCTGTTTCACTGACTTGTAAGGTCTCTTTCGCTTCAGAAAAGTCATGAGAGCCATCACTGGAGGGAGTTCCGGCCGTAGCTGGCAAAGCCTCGTCCGGCTCGTTCTTGCTAGCTTGTGATGACTGTTCCGGCTCTGCAGAGGCAATCTCGACACTTCCAACAGGTGCGGTATCGCTCACTGTGGGCGGTAACTCCACGTGTGTGTTCTCGCTATGCTGTTGTTCCCCCTTCTCAGAATCAAACTCGGCATTTTCAACTGCCGAATTACCAGCTGCTGCTGGCTGTGATTCTTCCGGCGCAATCTCTCTGGAGTGTTCTTGCGCTTCCATATCAGACAATGCATTGACACTTTCAATATATACCGTGTCACCTTCTGTTCGTGACAGCTTCTCCGGTTTATTCTCGCTGGGTGGCTCTTGTTGCCCAACCTCAGAAACCAAGTCGGCATTTTCCACAAATACCTCATTAGGTCTTGGTTGCTGTGCCTCTTCCGGTTCATATAGAAGACGTTTCACTGGGGGCCCTGATGAGCTGTCTAAGCTGGAAAATGTCACAGGTTCCGCGGATGGTGCAACTACTGCTGTCGAGTCTGGCACTGTGACAGATAAGGTTCGAGAGTTCGTCCTCTCGCTCCACGATTGAATTTCGGGTTCCTGCAGTGGAACCACGGATGAAGCAGTAGATTCTAGGATATTCTCGGGGAATGGGTGCAAATCCGACACAACTGTTGCTGATCTGGAGTTGATAGCAATAAAAACAACAAGCATGCTAAGGAAGACAATGGCGATATTGCGTCGGTCGTTGGCAAGCACGCGTACGTAGTTCACCAGCAGAGTTTGCAAGTCAATCTCTTCTGACGGCTTTCTCGCATTCGATTCGGACTTCTGATCATCTTGAGGCCTATGCCGAGTTGTGACAGGCGATGGAGACCTTTGACGGTGTTGAGTAACGTGAGGCCGGGAGCCGGCTTTTTGAGGGGTCGGCGTGAGCGCAAGACTTGGAGGCTCCGGTGGGATATTCCCCGGATCCTGTAGTAAAGGCTGACCGAACCCGTTATCAATGTGCGACGAGGCTTCGGCCACCAGTTTTCCAAGTTCTGCTCTCACATCGGAAGGCAACCATAGGCCAACCTCTACATCGACCTTCTCCATCTCTTTCCATGCTGCAGCCCACGCGCCAGCCCTCATCAGTCCGTTGGCGGCGAATACTTTGACTTCCCACTTTCGGGTCGTATTGTGCCGCAAAATGCGGCCTCCGCAATCCGGGCACTCATCACCTTCATCCTCTGTGCTGTTGTCGTCCTTTTCTAAGCGGTCCTCCCTATCCGACTCAGTTTCGTCACGCCAAAGGAAGTGCCCATGATCAAGCCGAGGGTCCTGTAATTCCAGGCTCTCCAATAGCCGTTCCTCAAGAAGATCGTACATATCCTCCGGGTGCGATATAAGCACACCACGCTCGCGGAGAACGCCTGATCCAATTTTCTCCTCGAGTAACTTCCACCTCTTCCAGTATACCGAAGGCAGAACTTCGCTCAAAATCTTCTTACGATCCGGATGTGTGGCTAATCCGGCCACTGGGAGTGACGGGGACAATAGGGTGCAGTGAAGAAGGACAAGTGGATATTCCTTCTTGACCTTCGGCTTGCCAGCAGTAGCCGTGGGAGAGTAAAACGGGGACCGTTTGAATGGCGACGAACCCGCGGACCGAATAGAGAAATCAGAAGTGCGCTGGCTACCCCGGCGTTTGGGAGGAGTCAGATGATACTCGTAATCTGCCTCATCCTCAGTATGCATCTGCATTGCCCGTACCGAGCTCGGCTTCCGGAACGTGCCTTCGCGCTGTCGGATTGTATGGACGGTCCGCGGCCCGTGATGGTCCCAGGGTTGATACACGTAATCTTGCGTATCTCGCAGGTTTGTAGGTCTTATTCCATCGGGTAGGTTCGTCAATACTGAGGCGGGGATTGAGGAAATCGAAGTACGGCTAGATGCCCTTGACCGCGTGCGAACCGGCTCGCCGTCGTCCCCTCCACCACTCAGAGTTTCGGCCGGAGAGTGACGTGTCGAGGATCCGGACGAGTTGTAGCCACTATCTTGCGCTGTGACAAGCACGGTTTCATCGAGACTGGCATGGTCGCAATGCTCCAGGAGCTTCTGTGAAATGGCTCTTTTGGGAAGGGCCGGCGTAGTTGTGCTATCCAAAGGTATGTTTGCATCGCATTCTGCGATTTCTCGTTTAGATTCCATAAAATTCTGGGAATCAATTTGCCCATCCATATTGCGGTGTAAAAAGTGTTCAATGTGCTAGAGAAATATAATGTCTGTTTGTCGGAGAATAACTATACATTAGCTCCGCATCAAGGCACCAAAACAGTGGTAGTAACACTCACGATGCAACAAACTATTAGGAGAAGTACCCCCCGAGGGACAGACTTTAAGCACAAAATCGCCAAAGCCCATAATAGTAGTGGAGTCCAACTCAGAGCGTCGATAAAAGAGGTGTTGATCTATGTCAGTTGACCGTTGTTGCCGTTGTGCTCACCGCCCCGTTGTGACGGGCAACCGATGTGAGCCTGAGGCTCTAGTTTTAGATAGAGTATACCTACTATCTGTACTGCCCGAAATTCTGCGATGAATTGTTCATTGATATTAATGTTTTGTTTTTTAAAACAAGCATAAAGTAGCCGTTGCAACCTATATTCATCAGTAGGCGTACGTTTACAGAATCCCTCATACATCCATTACAGGAGGGCTAGCCTCCCATAACTCCAAAACACCCAAAGACCATGACCTTCCCATGCAAAACGACAGGTAAAAACAGATATACGTTAGAATAACCAAACGCTTTCAGGCAAAAAGCAAAAAATAAAAAAATAATAATAATAATCAGTCCATGCAAAAAGCGCTGCCGAATATTAGAGAGTACATGGAACGACAAGAGTCAAAAAAAAAAAACTAGAGAAACCAATATCAATGGCTCGCGCTCTATTTTTGTTCACCAAAGCTGAAAAGTCTAACCGAAAGACGCCGTGGGTTCCTTCTCCTTAATCGTGACATGGCAGAGACGTTGTTAGGCATAACACATGAATAGATGGTAGAATTTACTGAGGCGGCGGAGCACCTTCACCAGGGCTCATGAGAGGAAAGTTTTGCTGGTCAGTGTTAAAGTAGTTCAGAACATCCGGCGGAAGATATTCTAGCCAAGGTGGTCCACTGATTGGGAAAGGAAATTGGTCCTGTTGGTGGAGTGCGGACATGTCGACATCTTGACTTTCAATAAGAAGATCACCGCCCGCTGGCGGATTGAGGGCAGAGTGGAGGTCTGGAGGTCTTGACCCCATATGGCCACCACTAGCGTGGCGATCATCCGTCGTCGGTGAAATATAGTTGTATGCCGACACTTGAGGGTTTAGGGTTGAAGAGGAGGTCGGGAGATTTCGCGTCGGTTGTGAATTCGAGGGGCGTGATACAGGATGAGGGTACTGGGAGTTTAGGCCGAGGAGAAGAGTTGCGTCAGAAGTTGCCACCCGGCCAGAGGAAACCAAGGAATCATGAGCGACACTCGAGGTATTTGTGGGTTCAATATCTCGCGCGAAGGAGCTCGAGCTCTGCCCAATGCCTGACTGGACGGGTACATTGTTGTAGTTATGACTGTATTGAGAATGAGAAGGGTACGTTTTGTTGTCAGGGCCGGACTCGGGAGGAGCAGCGGGCATTTGATAGAGGAGACTGAGGTTCGGTTGCGAGGAGTTCGCTGCGTTGGTGAGGGCCCAGCCGATAGCTGAAATGAGGTTTAGCTCAATGATGAACACAAATGGATAAGAATACAATGATATTATCTCACCTTGACTGGGATCCATCCTCGGCGAGGCTCTCCCATTTGGAGAACACGCACCAGATGTTAGTCCTCCTGCGGCATTGATGGAATTGGGCAAATGTGATTGCCGCCAGTTGGACCCTGTAACAGGCTGAGCTGAAGGGGTTCCAGTAGTACCCTCCATCTCTTCTTCGGTATATAGTAAGGGATCCACTATTCCCTTGGCCTTTTGGTTTAAAACCGTCAATATATACTTTGTACCCTCCCAATAATTCTCGAGAGCCTTCAAGGCTTTGTAGCATCTCTGATAGTTCTCCCTAGCGGCGGACGCAAGAAGGCTATATCTTGCAGCGGGCTTGCGGTCCGATAGGTTGGACGACGAATCCACGCTCGGCAAAAAGAACCCACTGGTTTGATTGGCTAAAAGTGGCTGGTGTGAAGGCGAGACAGACTGTGACGACGGAGAGGAATAATGGGCACTCTCCATGAGAAAAGCGCACGCGGCTATATACATCGGTTGACTGGTGAAAGGATTTCCGATGAAGCTCTTGCCATCCACCAGCTCGGAAAAAGACAGAATATCTGCTATCGTTTTGGCTGACGACATCGAAAGGTCACGGCTATTAGGGTAAAGGTGCTGAATGGTGCCACCAAAGGAATTTAAAAGAGTGGGTTGGTGGAGGAGTACGATAACCGTGTGGAACCACTTTAGAGCATTAGTATTAACCTCTGAAGTTCATGAGAGATGAGAAGTTCTCACAAAATGAAGGAGAATAAAGTTTGTTCCTTCTTTAGCCTTTACATATGCTTGGAAATTCGCAGCATTGAAGTGGAGTCTTGGTGACAACCGTTGGTAAATGCCTTTTAACGGATATTGATTAGCCCCAGTCTATGGAAAAAAACCCCAGTGGAATATAACTGTACCTGTCAAGTCACTTTCCATTCCGGCCAGCCTTTTTAACGTATCTGATGTCACATGGTTGACATCCTGCATGCTGTTTATAAGGTCTGTGACCCTTCCATACAAATGGATAATGCGGATAAGCGGTGGAAAAGGTGCTGGCCAGCCATTAGGAAGCTGTGACTCCGATTGTAAAGGAAAGCGGAGTTCGATATCCTCATCACGCAAAGTCACAGGCCGTCCTGTGCCAGAAGAGATCACCCTGTCCAGAAAAAAGATGCTCCAGAACGTGTCCACTCTTTCACGCTCCCAGGCACGTCGATCTTCCACCTCCTGCGAATCTTTTGTCGAGGCAGGCCCGTTCGGAGGCTCATCGTATTGATCTTCTCTAAGTTTCGAAGCGTGCCCTGTCATAACTGCGCTCGGCGTCACACCGGTTCGACCGTAACTGTAATCTAAGCCTTGGAGCTTCTGCATCCCGAGATCTTGCGCCATTCGAATGGATATTCCCAAGTACATCCATAGACCACTATCATGGTTGGAACCGAATTGATCGTATGCAAGCAATAAACACGCCTGGACAACCGAAAGTGTCGGGAATGAGAGAGATTCCACCAAGGCACTCATTGCTCGATTGGCGAACGGTTGACCACGGGTAGATTTCTTCATAGTCGACTGGGGTTCTGAGCCATCGATAGTAGGCGCTTGAGGTGGACTCAGTAGCGGGTGAGGTGAAAACCGGGAAGACAGCGCGCACACAGAATCCACCAGCATGGTGTCAATTTTCTTCTCTTTCAGGTCGCGAAGAAAGCGCTCCCGCCGCAAGAATGGGAAGCTACAGCCCAGGTGGACAAAGAACAGCTCGCAGAGGTGAGTAACCAAGTTACTCACGGGTAAAGAATCAACTCGGTCGTAGAAGGGAATGGTGTTGGCATCACGGGTGTCAACGCTATCGACGACGGCGGGAAGATGATGAATTTCGCTATCATGGAGCTCTGGGCTCCGCAGAGACGAGACTGAGTCTATCGAAGGAATCATTAAAGTTAGCTCAGTGCGCGCGATACAATAGATAATCTATATCGACAGTTGAACCCTCGAAGGGTGAACAGAGGTAGATAGAGAAAGAACCAACCTGACGACAATGATGCATTACTCTTCCGTGAGCCCCGTACTTGGACAACCTGTGGATGGAATCAGTTGCTGGTAACTAGAGTCTTAAGAGAAGTAAACTGACCATTTGCTTGAATCCGGGAACAATGGCTGTGGGTCCAAAATATCTGAAGTAGGGCACATGTGTACGGCTGTTGGAGCTGACAGAAGTCCGATCTGAAGAGAACAATGAGCAAGACTCGCTAGTGTCCAGTTAATATGGAGCACATACTGCTTTCTGGACTTTCCCCTGCCGCCTGCTGTTCATTCTCCTTTGCTGCCCAAACCGATGCATCCCCGAACAGAGGCGACTCTTCTGGTTTTAACGCTTTTGGCACGTCCGGTGATTTTCCAATACTGTCTGTGCCCGTTGACAATATATTTGGTTTAGGGGAGCCTGGTAGCCGGTTTTCAACTTCTGGCACCCCGCGCGGAGTATTCGAGTCGACCGGGGTAGCTAGGGATGGGGTCGCCGCAGGAGTACGAGAAGCGGTGTCGGATTGCGCTCGAACATTGGTGGCGGGCTCGCTATAACCAAGGCACTCATGATTGAAGTCGGAGCATGTTTTGCACACTATGTAGCCAAATAAAACAAATTAGCCTACTGCAAGTGGCAGCTAAACGGCAAATGGAACACCTCTTACCTGGCTGCTCGCCGGAGCACCGTATCTTGCGCTTGCGACATGTGCGGCATCTACACAGAACCCCATAGAATTAGCTAGTTGATCATTGCGACAAGGACACTTGTAACGTATATCTGCGCCGGGCGGAAAATACTTACGCAGCGTTTACTCGTCTCCGTTTTGTTTGCGGTTGTCCATCGGTTGAAACGAAGCGAATCTGTTTTGGGTTGGGAAGATGACCGCCGCCGTTCTTCCGGGGAGAAGGAGGGCTCATCGCGAGCAAGTTATCACCCGTGGTCACAGCACATCGGGCATCTGAGCGATCTTGGACCCGAATCCTCTGGCAAGCAAGCTTCGGAAACGGTGCGTTTATGGATTCGCACCAGGAGGAATCAGTGGACGAAGGAATACGTAGCGCGGGAAGTGTCTCGATGGTAAAACCCGTCCAGGCGAAACGTCCATGGGCGTGGCTTGATCCCACGCGGTGGTCGGTGAGTTGCCGCGGATAAAGAATAAGATGGGGAGTATTATTAGATGGAGGGGAAATCGAGGGCCTAGGGTAGGAAAGCAGGAGTCGGAGCTTGGGGCCGATGGTTCGATGAGGGGGATACGTAGAGAGAGACTAGAGGTTGGTCGCGCCCTGTCGCCGCTTGGTAATTTCGGTCTCAATGCGAAATTCACTTTGCTCTAAATTAGCCTCCTAGGGTCTCAGAATCGTGGATCTGCGAGTATCTGTTGGCTGCTGGGAATGGAAACAGTGGAAAGAGAAGTGGAAAAGGCCGCGTACTCGAGTCCGGGGAAGTTGGTGTTCCTCCGTGGTGGAAAAGAGATGATGAGATGCCACCTGCACCCTGCGGACGTCCCCCAAGAAATTCCAACGACATCATCCTCGAGGGTCAGGAATGAAAATTCATCATTTAACAATTTACCCGCCGAAGGGTCGATCGGAAATCCTCCCTTGAAAATCCCCTCTGACCGCCTATTGCCTTTTCAGCGCTCGCTGCTCTATATCCAACTACGCTTCTCCTACTCTATGCATACAAGTGGTCCCCTCATACATCATCAACGACAGATCTATAGGGATGATGTCTCCATGACCATATCCTATTCGGTCCATGTTCCATAGCTGAGTATTCGTAATTCAGGTAATGGCTGGTACCATATTGACCTCCTATCTTCTGATATGAGAAACTGGAGGAACAAAAAAAGAACTTTCTTACTCTGGGGGTCTGGTACTCCAGTCCCAGCTGCTCCACTACGGATCACTCCCGCCATGTGACCGCAACATTTTGATGCTGCGGAGCCTCCTTCACAACACCACGGCCAACGAATAATTGGACCCAACCCACTCATCACAGAATCCCAGCGCTCATAGGGCCTTGCCGGATCATATACCCGCATCTTGAACCGTTTCGTTGCGGTTTGAAGAGTGGGATCGCTGAAGGCGCCAAACTCGGAACAAGACCGCCTCAACCGTAAGCTCCAGCGCACAGGGTCAATTGCGCCCAAAGCAGCAGTACCTAAGCCACGCCCGAGAGTGGGCTGGACTCAGGATTGTCAGGGGTCATGTGAACCGATTGTCGTTCTCCAGAGTTTCGGGCTAGACCCTTGTTGTGCTGGATGGAGTAGCGAGGGGCAAAAACCCACTTGGGGCCCAGTGTCGCGATGTCGCTCGGTGATAGTTAGCCCGCCCAGCCTTATGATCTACACAAGCTCATGTTTCGGTGCATCTTCTCAGTTTTCCAAGCGCCCTTTCCAGTGAATCTTGAGACATCCAAGTGACAGGTTTTAGAATTTCCCGGCTGTTATGAGATCTAAACGAGGACTGGTTATCTGTACAAAATTTGCACTCTATAATTGACAATGCAACATCCAGAGAGCGATTTTAAAACTGCGGTCTTGGAAGCTCAATCGCGTCGGTTGTTCGCCCGTATGCGATGCCTCCTAAGCGACTGATCGGTTTCAGAACCTTTAGGTCTACGACGTTCGTCTCTTTGTCATAAGCGTCTTCTCTCACCCAAAATCGGACACCCTCGATAATCGCAAGAACACCGGTTTTCTTTCCTGGAGTTGTTCTGCTCTCGAACTCCTTGGTTTCAACGAGCTTGCCCTCAATTGACAACATTGATTCCTTGACGCGCGCAGCCTGAACAACGGAACTGGGAGCCTGATGTAAACCGGATACCTCCCACTCTGATACTCCATATGGCGCATTGACTGCGGTTGCGTTGGCAGCTTCAACAAAGTGCTCCGAAATGATATTTATCACGCATTCCTTCGACTCTGTTAAGTTCTTAAGGCTGTCTTTGGCCTTCTCGAGTGACCCAACAAACCCTACCGTGAAGAGTGGAGGATCGTGGTTGATAACTTGGGCGTAACTGAATGGCGCCAGATTTGCTGTTTTGCCGTCTTTCGATTTCGTGCTGATGAGTGCAATTGGTCTGGGGACCACCCCCGAGATCAAAAGCTTATAGTTAGATGAAGCATGCCGTCCCTCCTCGTAGGGATCGATTTCGATATGGTTCTTGTTCAAGCTCTCGCCACCATCATTGCCGCCCTCGCCTTCTTTCCAGTCCGGCTTTGGGGGCTTGGAATATTTGACCTCCGCGTCTCGTTGGAACTCCGGTCGCGAGGCTTGGACTTTGTCAAAGTCGTCGCCGGTATTAAAGAACGCCGATGTTTTGATCATGGTAGATTTCTGGCGATATATCACAGGCAGGAATGAACTTTCAAATTGCGAGACACGATCAAAAGATCGAAAAGAGCTGCATGACTGTAAGCATACGCCCGACAGGCATCCTTCTCCTCATGCTGGACATGTACCCGCTCACACCACCGCCAGCACCTGTAGAGCCTGGGATTTGGGAGACTTACAAAATTCGAGGAGAGGCTCTGGGAAAAGCACGTAATAATTTTGGACCAAGAACAGAGCAAGACATGTTTGCGAACCACGCGTTGTATTCTTATATCGCGGTTTAAGGCGAGGAACTCCCAGGTCAAAAGGGAATGCTGTATGTAATTCCACGCACCCTTTGCAAAATTGCCTCAACATTTGCCTCACGTACGTGGAAATGAAAGGTCACTACTGCAGTGGCAATAAATCTTCACTACCGAAGCCCGGGCCGAATTGACTGCTGCTTCTCCGAGAGAACCCCGCAAGTTGAGGCACGGAACGCAGATGCGGCGAAGAGCCACTACTCATGTCGCAGATTGTCTTCAAATGCCATCCAAAACACATAGAAGCCCCAATACGACGGTGAACAAGGGGCGCCTCTTTTTATTCTAGAAATATTCCAGCGCATTGCCATTTGAAGGCTGACGGAGGTGGGGTTACGGTATACCAAGGTTTCACCTCCGCACTGACGTTCTCTACTGCCACCATTCTGCAGCGCTCATAGTCTCTTGACTTTTTAGCATAGCAAGCGTGTAACATAACATTTAGTCTCGATGAGGATTGAATAAAGCGACCCGATAAACAAATGCTTCGCGGAAAGAACTCCCAATTGATAGCCTCATAACAGCTCCGCGGATTCCTTTAGAGTCGCCTATACTGAATTTCCCGGTGATCAGATCACTGGTCAGGTGAAAGTTGGAGTTGAAGTTAATCCCCTCATTTTAGTCCTTTACGGAATACATTGTAGACTTTCCCCTCGTTAAGGTAGCATCTGTCCCCCGAGACTCCAGACAGATCTCTTCGTGCAGGCTATATTATCCCACCCATCCCGCATTGCCTTCCATGCTCGCTAATCAGGGATATCTAAGCAAGCATCCGACTACTTACAAACACATTTGAAATCAGACATATCGATTGCCGTAAGCCATCGCAGTATAATAAGGCGAAGCTTGCCCTGCTAGAATTACGACAGTCTCACAACTGAGCCCCCCTCAAAGACAGCACAGCAATGGCACAGCAAGACCATGAGATCTTCAAGCTCGGGGATTGGGAGCTCCAGAGCGGTTCGAAGCTTGTCGATGCCCATTTGGCGTACAAGACATTTGGGGACTCGAAGTCTCCTGCGATTGTCTACCCCACCTGGTTCTCCGGAGGTAAGTAATGCACTTATGAAGGGGGGATATGGGCATCTCATTGGAAACCACATGCTAATGGGAGGAAAGCCATTGCGGATAACCTCTGGCTCATAGGCGATGACAAGACCCTCAACCCAAAGAACTATTTTATCATAGTCCCCGCATTGTTTGGGAATGGCCAGTCAACATCGCCCTCAAATTACCCCGTAGAAGGGGACTGGCCAAAGGTCTCCTTCTACGACAACGTTCGCGCCCAGTATAAGCTTGTCACTGAGCACTTTGGAATCACTCATCTACATGCCGTTGTTGGGTGGTCGATGGGAGCGGGTCAAACCTATCAGTGGGCAACACAGTATCCTGACTTCATGGATCTGGCTGTGCCTTTCTGTGGCTCAGCAAGGACGTCGCTTCACAACCAGGTGTTCCTCGAGGGCGTTAAGAGTGCCTTGTTAGCGGCCAAGGGTATCCAGTCAGCTGGATCTGGACAGGGTGGTGTTCTTGCATCTGGGCAAACGCTGAGGAAATGGAGTGATACTGAAAAGAAAGTCGGGCTAAAGGCATTTGGCAGAGGCTATGCCGGCTGGTAAGTCTTATTAATAACGTTAAGTATGCGTATATCTGGTAACCAAATGAATATAGGGGGTTCTCTCAGGCCTTTTACAGAGAAAGGCTGTATGAGACTGCTTTGGGCTATAAAGACCTTGAAGACTTCTTGCAGAATTTCTGGGAGACTTGGGCTCTGTCAAAGGGTAGATAAATCACTATCTCCACTAGAGCCGGTCAATACAGCTAACTTCGGCACTCCCACATAGACCCAGGCAACCTCCTAGCTATGGCACAAACTTGGCAGAATGGCGATGTTAGCAAGCAAGAGCCGTACAATGGCAACTTCGAGAAGGCCCTAGCAGCGATAAAAGCCAAAACATTGGTTCTACCTGCGAAAACTGATCTATACTTCCCGTAAAGCACACTATTCGGATAACTGAACATAAGCTGACAGCGTACGCAGGCCGGAGGATTCCGAATATGAATTGAAGTGCATGAGCTCAGGCATCGGCACTCTTAAGATCTTCCCCTCCATTTGGGGTCGTAAGTAACACCCCGGGCATGATTTTTCCATACCTGTCTAACCACAAAAGCGCAGATTGGGCGGGTGGTCCAGGAGATAGTAAGGATGATGTGAAGTGGCTTGACGAACAACTATCGAGTTTCTTCCAGAAGGACGGTGGCAGTAATAATGCTGAAAAGCGGGAGCTTCCTATTCGATCAGTTTGATCTAACCCAAATCATTAACCAATATCAATTTCAGCGAAGATAAGCAACACATTTTTCATACACGCTCTATTTAGTTAATAAAACGACCAAACTATTTGTACTTCTACTTCACATGTCCTGTCAAAGTGAAGATCATGTGACTATACCGCTGCTGAGTCATCACAAATGCAAGCGCCCCATCAATCAAGCCTTTTGGCCCTTGGATCGACTGCCATTTCAGCGACGCGCTGTTCCCTTTATCAACTGATTCACTCAATACCCTCCCTTGATTTCCTTATTTTTCTGTTGTTCCATTTACTTAATATTCGCTTTTGGTCATATATTTTCTTTTCTCTCCCGTTCCGTCCTCCGCTCGCTCTGGGTTCTTCTACTCCGTAATAACTCCGATCTCCGCATCTCGCCCAGGTAGCAGCATCGCAATGGCAGCACCGACACCACCAACTCGCCAATGGGGCGTAACCCCCCCAATATCTATGACATTGCCAACCACAGAAGAATTAGCAGCGAACGATGATCTTATCGCAGAGCTTAAGCTCCAGAACAACTTTGAAAGTCCGTCGGAGACCGAACGAAGGTACGGGAGCATACCGGAAATCAGAAAATCAGTCTCGTACATCTTCTGACTTGCCACTTTTTTTTTTGCATAGGAAACAAGTACTCCAACTTCTACAGCGTGTAACAACCGAGTTTGTCAAAGCCGTCAGTCGCAAAAAGGGCCTTTCTCAGGCCGCAGTCGAGGCAGCAGGTGGTAAAATATTCACTTATGGGAGTTATCGCTTGGGGGTCTATGGGCCGGGTAAGCTTAAGCATAGGAGACTTCTTCGTGGAGCTCAACTGACAGTGCGCTGTTTAAAGGATCGGATATCGATACCCTAGTTCTTGGACCGAAACACGTTGTGATTGATGACTTTTTCTCCGACTTCCCGCCGTTACTTGAAACTATGGCACCTCAAGGGGCCATCGAGAAAATGACGCCGGTTCCGGATGCCTTTGTTCCTCTTATAAAACTTGAATTGTCGGGGATAAGTATCGATTTGATTTTTGCCCGCCTGATCGTGCCGTCGATCCCTCTGAATCTTGATTTGAAGAACAACGACTACTTAAGAGGCCTTGACGAAAAGGAGGTGCGGTCGCTCAATGGAACCCGTGTAACGGATGAGATATTGGAGTTGGTACCGCAGCAAAAGACATTCCGCCTTGCTTTGCGCGCAATCAAGCTATGGGCTCAGCGTAAGCGCTGTTTCAGAATTTCCTGGCAGAATTGTAGCTGACTATATGGAACACAGGACGAGCTATTTATTCTAATATTGTCGGTTTCCCTGGTGGTGTTGCATGGGCCATGCTGGTAGCAAGAGTGTGTCAGTTGTATCCTCAAGCAACCGGCTCTGTTATTGTAGGCAAATTTTTCCGAATCATGAACAAATGGGCGTGGCCGCAACCTGTGTTATTGAAGACTATTGAGGATGGACCTCTACAGATGAAAGTGTGGAATCCAAAGGTAAGGCAATCCGTGCAATAGTGCCTACTTGGTCTTTGCTAATATTATGTGACAAAAGATCTACCACGGTGACCGGTTTCATTTAATGCCCATTATCACACCTGCCTATCCGTCCATGTGCGCAACCCACAACATCTCAATGTCGACTAAAGCCGTAATCCTGCGGGAGCTTCAACGTGGCGGTGATATTGTGGACAAGATCTGGGCGAAACAAGCGACTTGGAATGATCTGTTTGAGCGACACTCATTTTTCACGCAAGACTACAAGTATTACCTCGGCGTCACTGCGTCTAGTAGGACGAAAGAAGCGGAGTCAGTCTGGTCCGGTCTCGTTGAGTCCAAAGTCAGGCACCTGGTTGGAGCATTGGACCGTAAATCCACCATCGCAGTAGCTCATCCGTTCCCCAAGGGTTTCGAAAGGACCCATATTATCAGCAACGAGGAAGAGGCCGATGCAGTTAAGAATGGATCTCTTAAATACCAAGATAAGGGTATTAAAACAGAGACGACCGACGAAGTCAAGGATGTTGCTCATCAGACTGCGGCTCAGAGTGGAAGAGAAGACACAGAAGTACCTGCTGCCGCAGACAACGCAGCCAATGACAACCGAATTGTCTATACCACAACTTACTACATTGGAATGGAGTTGAAGCCGGTTGAACCAGGTATGTGCTCCAGGTTCGTTTGCTGAATCGACTGACTTTCCATAGGTGCGTCCCGGTCATTGGATATTTCATCTGATGCCCAGTTTTTCAAATCCATGTGCACATCATGGGCTGGGTATCAACCTGGTATCAACGACTTGTCTATTACGCATGTTCGCAAGTGAGTCTCTTGAATCATGATTGTTATCGCCAGGGTCTAAGGATTTTCAAACAGCTACGATTTGCCGGAGGACCTTTTCCAAGCCGGCGAAACTCGACCTTCACGGCCCAAGAAGAAGGTCGTAAAAAAGACGACGACAAGCGGGCAGAAACGCAGCTTCGATTCCGTGGACGTAAGTGCATACAAGAGAGTGAGATCCTATCGCGAGCTCTACCTACCATGCAAATCTATTCTACTAAATTCAGCCCTCCGCGGTCCGCACGGGGCTGGAAGGTTCTAACTTCTAGTTATAACTAATATCAACATTGTCTTAGGATTCACCAAACCCCGCCCCAAAACGCCAAGTCACCGACGGATATGCCACCGCTGCAACACCCGCGTGAAACAAGTTGCCACCCCCATACGAGTTATCCAACAGCCCAGCACTTCGGGGCAGGCCCCCATGAAGTCGTGAGAGATCCACGACATCATATACTCTAATATGAGAATGGAAACATGATGACGAACCAGTCTTCGCTAATTCTGACTACAAGGAACACAGTGACCTCGTGACTCGACTGAAGTCGGAAGTTATACAAGGTTGGTGTATCTTCCCCGCTCTCCTTTCTGGACTACCAGATGTGAGATCCTTCT